TACAATATAGTAAATTTATCTATTGAATATATGGAATAGTGATATAAAAAATATTATATAGAATAATTATATACACAAGCATATTGACATAGTTGAATATGTGAATAGGAGTTAATCTCACCACAATTTACTTACATGAGTATTTAAGCTATGATGAGAATTTATTATTATGTAAAGAGGCATAGATAATATCACAGAGAAACACGTATTCATAATTATCGATATTATGATCTAAAAATAATATGACATTAGGCAGGAATAGTGCAATGAGATAAAAAGAATAACACTGATCTGTTATATATGTCTATATATAACTCCATTGTTTTTACATTGGCCACGAAAGCGCTGTATTATTTCTCTAATACAATAATCCAACTCCGTGAGTTTTTTACCATTTTCAGAACCGAAAAAATCATATTTCAAACCAAATATTAGCAAATATTTGAATCATTAAAATTCTTATAACTTCATTTTTTGCTACCAAAAAGCAACATGAATTTCGTTTTTACCACAATAATGGAAATTTTTTTTTAATTTTCGGGGATTAATAATTTTCTATTAATTTGATTAAAAACGTTGATTATCGATACATTAACAGTAAAGATTTTTTATCGAAATAGAATACGCACAAAAAATATCACAGGCACGAATTTTAAATTGCACGATTTTGGGTAAAATTAAACACTCATCGCCTTAAACAAGAAATAAACATTCACTTTGTTAAACCGCGGAGTGTATTAATGCGCGGATGTCATTCTAGCCACAAATGCCTGCAAAAAATGCTGGAATAATAATTTTCAGCTAGTTATCATTATCATTATACGCTTTTCTACCGTTATTGAATTAAACTTAAAAATAAAAATATCCTCAGGACAATGTCCTTATTGATATGAGTTAGACTATAATAGTAAAATTATTGAGTAAACAATAAATACTGATGACACAAGTGATATAAAAATATTATTTCCTCATTTTTAAATACTTTATTTTCGGTTATTTTCTCCAATAAAACTGATGTTGTCTGTCCTTACTAAACAGAGTAAATGAGAATTAGAAATTTTTAAAAAAATTTTTACATCTCTGATGTTTAATCATAGACTCTATTTATTTTTATAAATATCAGAAGAAAAATGAAACCGAGAATTGAATGTCTAAGATTTAAAAATTTTTTGAAAAAAGGCATCTACTTTTATTATGCAGACGTACATTCACACGATCCATAAACTTGACAAGCATATATGAACTTGGAAATATACTTGCTCCAACAAAATACGTGTATACGAATAGGAATAAAGCACATGTAACATACGTCTCACGTACTTCATGAATATTACGCGTTCATGGAGGAAAATTCTGTACGTAGCATCAAGCTGACCTAACGATCAGCCGATATGAATTCGGCGACACGCGCTAAGGTCAGAGTGTACTCACCTGGCACCGCCCCAAGGCACGCCTACCTGCGCATCTTGGGGATGTAGCAACGCCTACGCGCCTACTACGTTTATTTCTATGCCTATATAGCCCTTACATACACCAACCTCATTCCAATAACCCCACTTTTCCCCTCATTCACATATATAACCTGTTTACGCCTACGCTTGTGCTTACATCCGCACCTTCACTCACGTCTGACCCCCACTTTCTGTTTCTCCTTCCACCAAGTCTGCCTACAGTAGTACCTCTTTCGCTGAAACGCACGTGTCTCATCAGCTTATATTTTTATTAAGCTGCTCTAGGCTCGAAATAAGCACTTTTCAATTTGCCCTCAAGATTTTTTTTAATCTCTTGAATTTTTAATCCATCCTGTCTTTACTCTGTATTTAACCCTTTTTTACTCAAACTACCTCCACATAGCATCTACCTATGGATATAAATTACGTTCAAAGCTATTCCTTCGATCTTTAGGAAATCTCTCTCCGCATTTCTGTCTGCCTCTACAACAATCTGTCTTTTTTCCCTTACAAAGTAGTTGGAGTACTTCTCTGTCTGTGCATTCCCTACGCCTATGACTCCACCAATGCCTTTGCCCACGCCTACGCTGTCCCCACTACTGTGTCCGACCACTGTCGGGAAAGCTACTACTACCCTAGTTCGTTGGTGCGTTATATTCCCTCGAGTTAGTGGATCGGGTCACCGGGTGACGTAACGCGTCGCGTCCGTAGGGGGTTGCACACTTGCAAACACTCAAAGAACCCTTACACTCACGACGACTCTGCAATATTCTCCACCCACATTGCCGCGTGACCCATCATTTCTTCTTTATTTTTTATCTCTCTTTCTTCCCTTTCTACTCTAATCCACCGCGTTCTTACGTCACTGAAAATAAGAAAGAAAAACTGTGGACACACATGCAGTTTTATCGGCCGGATGCTCGTTGCCACACGAATAATCCGATCATCCTTCTTCTGTCACGCGTTCTCAGAGATAAATCTAAGAAAAAATTTAGGACAAACGACAGCTACAGATAAAGTATTTTAAGTGGTATTGAACGTAGAAATCAATCTCGTGAATTTACTGCAACTATGACTCACTCCTCAACCAACAACCAACAACTGCAAATAAATAGACCAAAATAATGGTTTACTTAGAAAAATTACTCTTTGCATCACACTAAAGTCAAGGACTGAGAAATAAATTGTACGAAGATGATCGGAAGCAACTTGAAATAGTGCAATCTTGGCACACCTAAATGCACATAAATTAGAGTACATTGAGATGAATTTCCTGAGAACAGTTGTCTCATAAACACATATTTATCAATAACACTTTGTTAAATACCTATTTTCATTCTATTAGTTATTCACAGTAAATAAATTTCTCGACAAAAGTAAATAAATTCATTGAATTATTAATCAGTAGAAAAACATTGAAATAGTCCGACAGAAAAAAATCAACATCAGTATTTATTGTATTCTCATAAAACTAAAAATGCAAAACTCAAATAATTCACATTGCTATTATTTTTTTTAATCGCAAAATTGCACGATGGGACGAATAGTGTGTTCGAGTTAAAAAAAAAAAAAACCTGCGCCCTTAAATAGTATTTGAAAGCTCACGTAGTGAATGATACAAAATGAAAAATAATAATATCAATAAAAAGATTAAATAAGCTTTTCCGTACCGATATATATTATGAAACCTACAAATTGTTATGTTTTTCTACAGTAACATTTGTACCGACTTACAACAAATATTTGTACAATATTATGATAAACAAGTACCTATACAACATAGGTATATGTAAAACCCAGATGCAATAACTTTTTTAAATGGTGTTAACAACGGAATATTTTTCATACGTCAGACGATACCAGCACGAGCCGGCTAGACGCCCTCGTGCATTTACTACCTAACTCATTTCGTTTTGTGCCAACCAGAAATATTTTAGATTTGCGTTTCAGATCAAATGTGGTTTATATAACTTCATCCAATATGTCGGGACAATATATCCTTGCTATAATAATTAATTATACCATAATATGGTTAAATATAACACCCAAACACTTGCCCCAGATCAAAATATTATATATATATATATTTATTATTGATCAAGTTTATTTCGATATCATGCACTTTTGAAGGTATTTCCAAAATGTCATAAAGCAAATTTTATATAAATAAAGGATTTTCTTTGAATTAATTAAATGATTTGTTAAAATAATAAAATAATAATAATAAATATTAGTGGTTGACATTTTAATTATTAATTAAAGTAATTGAAATTTGTTTGGGGTGATTGAATTTTCTTTAATACTGCTATATTTAACATACCCCCACTGAACTCGTTTGAGTAGCACGAAATTACCAAAATGACTTTATTCAGGCTTGAAAAATAGTTATCACGAAGAAAGAAAAGATAAAAAAAATAATAATAAATTGAATTTGATTGAATATATAAGTAAATAAAGTGAAATTATTTATTCATCAGTAGATCATCATTGTGCACTAAAAAAAAATCCACACATTAACACTATTGTAGATAACTCCAAATCACACTCATTGTTTTTATAGCTCGGAAGACATAGAAGTGAAAGGAAAGCGAGAACAAGGGAAAGAGATGAAAAAATATGAATAAAAACAAAACTCGTCCCAAAGTATATATCTATAACACCCACATTGAACTCGCAAATTAATTTTAATAGTAACATTTGTTCATGATGTTGAGGACAAAGTTAAACAATTTAGTGTAACATATAAAATAAATTTTCTAATTTTACACCGATTGTTAATAATATATCTAAATACTGTTGGTATATTAATAAATAGAAATCCATTTTTTTTAACAAATAAAAATAATTTTCATATTTTACAGTAAAAGACTGTTGTCGATCACAACTATGTCCTCAAATCATGGATGCTCAGCAACATCTATTGCCTGTGAGCAAAGAAATTTTCATTTAATGTAAGATAATTTTTGTTTTCGTTTCTTAGAAGAACGAATGCATATCATAGTTGTAAATTAACAATTTGTGAAATAAAACCTGCAAACTGTTTGTGTTATCATTAATTTCTGTTATTTTTTAACACTATAGATTTTGAAAATAAAATCCTCATAATCCTTTATCCCATTTAAAAAATTAATTAACTTTGAGTAATAACTAATTGATTTTTTTAATCATCACTCATGTATGGTATCAACAAAATTTTATCTCCAATCAATTCAACCAAAGTAAATAAATTTCTATCAGTCATGATGCAAATCAAGATACAATTGCCTACAAAAAATACAGATCAATTTTACATTTATTTATGTTTCAAGAAAAACATCATTTTATTTTCTTTTAAAATATTTTTAATATTTGCTTGAAATTCTGATGTTAACTTGGAATTAATATCCGGCTTTAAAACTAAATTTATCATCCAACCCCTTTCCACAACTTCTGGGCTATGTAGGTGAGTATCGATGTTGAATTTAATATAGTGTAGAAACACTAAATTTATTTAAATGCTGACTGATAATAATCAAATGTCATTGACCTCTTACATTCACCTGTTGGCAGATGTCATTGGCCTTAGGCTTGGAAGCAGGTGGTTGGGGTGCACTGGTGGAACGTTCGGGTGGCAGTGTAAGTCCACTTCTACCCCATGGTCCTGGTAGTTTTGCCGGCTTGGCTTCTTTAGTTCGTCGCTGTGGTGTTTGTTTAGCAACTTTTCCTTCAGCTTGGCTTCTGGAAAGACATGCTCTCCTTCAGCATGCTGGTCAACCAAACGACGACAAACCCTTCACCTGTGAGCAGTGTGGACAACGATACCGCTACCGATCAGCTTATGTTAAGCATCGAGAGCAGAATCATCGAGCACGTCTTCCAGCAGACAAACTCTTCACCTGCGATGTATGCGGAATGCAATTCAGGTACCTCAAGTCTTTTAAAAAACACAGGTTGAATCATGCTTTAGAGCGGCTTCAACGAGTACCAGAACACCGGAATCTTTCAACAGCAGAAAGAAGCGATCAAGTATCTAGTACTGGAGAACCATCGCAATTGGAAACTGGAAGTGATACAGCCAGTCCGATGGATGATCAAGACGAGTCAGCTAGAGATATAGTAGAAAGTATCAGCAAGAAAGAGCCACCAGAAACGGCTAGTGGTCAAGAGGGTCAGGATGCTAATGATCAAGCTAACGATCGCAATAATGGATCTCGAGGTATTCGTAGTACTGCTGAAGTTGATGAAGGTCATGATCAAGCAATTGACGATGATCGACATGAGACAACAACAGAAAGAGTCATAGCCGAAATAGTTAGAAATCATGACTCTGATCGTCGAGAAAGACGTTTTGCTTGTCCGTTTTGTGGCAAATGCGTTCGATCTAAAGAAAACTTGAAACTACATGTTCGCAAACACACTGGAGAACGACCATTCGTTTGTCTTTTTTGTGGACGAGCCTTCGGGGGTAAAAGTGACCTCACACGACACCTGCGTATTCATACTGGTGAACGACCTTACCACTGCGAAATGTGCGGCAAATGTTTTGCACGTGCCGACTACCTCTCTAAACACCTTACTACACACATTCATCAACGGTAAATTTTCCTTAATCAGGGATCTTCTGTAGGAACTACATAATAAAAAATTAGGATTCGTTTCACAGTGCATTTTTACTGAAAAATAAATACAGTAATTTTTGCACTTTGACTACGTAGCTACTATCTGAAACTCTACAGAGTAGTAAAGCTTTTAAAAAAGTTTCACATTCTTTAGGAACTTTTTTAAAGTATAAAACACGTCGAGATATTCTGTTTACGCTTTTATTTCAACAGTTTTAGTTGTTTTCACGTAAACCTGAATATTATAAGGAGGATATTATTTTTTTTTATCTGTTGAAAATAATAATTATAAAAATAAAAATAAGTGGAGTCATTAATACAATATATGCTTATATTATACATACAATCACAGGCCCATTACGACGTGTCAATTACCAAAGAAAATGGAATCATTAACTTGATAAGATGAATTATAAGTCATAGAAGAAGGGTATTTAAGTCAGAAGTACTTAATGAAATAATTAAATCATCTCAAATGGATTTAAATCAGGCGCATGTCGGAAAACGACTATAATGAAACATTATGTTAGTGAGAATAATTTGTGATAAGGATTTAAAATACCAAAGAATGCGCGTGACGATAGCGACAAAGAAAAAGTAATTGTCAAATATGAAAGATTATTTTAAAAAAATATCATTATTTATTAGCAATATTATTATAATTGTTGTTAAATTATTTTTGTTGAATTACTTTTTCAATTGGAAATCGTGTTATTATTGTTTGTTATTACCAGTGATATACAATAACGTATAATAATTCAAAATATAAATAAATAAGATAATAAAAAATAGAATAAAAACCTTTACAATATTATGCTATTTAATAATGGAATTATATGTGACGCCAATTCGTTATATCATAAGTGATAATTTCTTACATGAGTTCTAAATATCATGGACTTGCTAAAAACGCGCAATTAGGTAAAACATAAAAAATAAGTCGCAAAAAACGGATGATACGATGAGTGGATGGAATAGATTGATGCTCGAAATGCAAAAAAAAAGCTTAGCTAGATACAAAATAATATTAAAGCTACAGGAAACAAAAAGGGAAAACAAAATAAGGAAGAGCAGATAGGAAAAAAAAAAAAATAAGCAACGGTGGAAGAAAAGAAAATTTAATCCGATGCGTCTTTCCTGACAGCATGCCGGTGCCTTTAAATCCTAAATCCTTTTACGTGAATAGCAATAATTTTTTTCTCTCGTTCATTTTCACATTTACACAGATACACTCGTCGCTATCGTAATACAAAACATTTTTAATTAAATTAAAAAAAAAAAAACAAAAATTGGAAGAATAAAAACTAAGAAATGGAAAATAAAATTTTCACTTAGTCATCATCAAGAGTCAGAAAAAAAATTTTAAATAAAAAATAAAAAAAATGAACAAATTGTTTGTAAATAGTAATATTAAATGTATGTGTACAAGCTCTTTTAAACGGCTTTACTTTGTCCATTAACTCTGTCCGTACTATTAAAATACACCGGTTGGCATAACAATTAGACATGGGACAATTGATTCATTTATATTATGATGTCTTATATTAAATTACTTAATATATTAATTAATGTAAATGTATCATTTCGTGGAGAAGGATTGATATAATAATTTATTCGTCATCATTCAGTGTCGATTACGCACAAAAATTTATTGTTAACAAAAACGAGAGGAAATAGTTAAAATATTTTTTAACATTTTTTAATGTCGATACTAATGTATGTATTTACCACAATATGAATGATAATAATAATAATAATAATAATAATGTATTTATAAAAAATAAATATGTGTATAAATACATTATTATTATTATTAATATTGAAAATGTAATTTCGAAAGTAATGTACAATCATAAATATTTAATTAATCACATGATATAACATCTGCTATGTCCGTCTCGTTTTGTTCAAGTGCCAAAATATTAAATAAATAAATGCTTCAGTAAAAAATATAATATATAGCAAGGAAATAATGATTAATAAAATATTGTAATTTATGAAATTATTTTTAAAAACGTTTTAAATATTTATAAGGTTCATCTTTGTAAGCACATGGTGGAGTATAAAATTACTAAGGCCTAGAATATAATGAATCTTTTGTCACATGTCTGATCAAATGCATTAAAATCGGTGAACGAAGTTGATTAAAGGTGCTAATAACCTATTTAATAAGCCTGATCGTCCACAAGTTGAGTCTCATGCCAACGAAATAAATTAATTAATCAATTTAAAAACAATTTTATATTTCGGTTGTGCCAAACGATCATAAGAAGCATGCAATAAATAAGTAAGCGATAAAATCTAACCGAAAAAAAAATCGTTCTTAGACCGAAATAAATTTATTTTACTCCCTCCAATTCTGAGACCAACTCAGTGCGACTCAGAGGCTAAATTCTAGGTTAATCCATAATTTCTTAAGAATATAGAATTAAAGGAATTGTATTGATATTTTTATCAATACTAGTGAATTAATAAACTGTAATTGAACCATGAAAAAAATTACATAAACTATTAAATGCAAAATATTCCATAACGCTTGTTATATTTGCTTTAAAACCGATTTCTTCGAAAGAAAATATAAGATTATTTTGTAAAACAGTGAAAAAAAGTATTAAAACTATTCTTATAAGTAAAAATGCACTCACAAAAATCGATTAAAATATTTTAAAATAAAATTAACGTTATACGACGTACAGTTGAAAATAACAAATATTACTCAATGAATTTATAAACGTAATTTATCTCTGAGCAATTGAATTTAAAACAATCCCAACGAAATCTAGTACAACGATATTTAAAATAAACTGAAATTGTAATTCAATACAAATTTAATTGAATGACTTTGATAAAACAACGATGACAATTACAACGGTTTTTGCTACAAATAATTCGCAATATGATATTAAATGAAATAATTAATGAAAAACTACTATACCAAGCGTTATGGAATAAATAAGCAGCTAATGAAAAGAAAATGCAACCTATGGTGAAAATAACAACTATCTATGCAACACCAAGTAACATATAAATATATATATAAATATTATATATATATTAAAATTCTGATAATATACGCGAAAATACATAATGATATATGACGATAGTAGTATATATGAAGATATATTTAATGAATGTTCCTATATTTATACTCTAAGTATTTATTAAGTGTACTATATCGATATTTAATGGTGATTTTAAATTTTTACCAAAAAAAAATTGAGTGTATGTTTAGATATTAGTTATTATCTTCAAGTTACATTTATAACAACAAGGTGAGAAAGAGTTGATTGGTTAGTAGGCGACAAAATTGTACGGTTTATCTATGTGAATGGAGGATGTAGTTAGAAACAAAAATGAAAACAGGAAGAAACGATTTAAAGAGTATAATATGTAAGCAGGTCGCATGTGGCGGAGGCAAGGGTCTTCCTATATTGACTGAACGATCAGATGTGATATACGTGTAAGAAATATAATATAATAATATAATTAATATTATTATTTACCATAATCCTAACAATATACATAAATAAATATTTAATTATTAATTATAAGATTCATATTATTACTATTATTATTAATATTATTATTATTATTATTATTATTATTATTATTAATGAGTTATGATATACAAATAATTATACCTATATGAGTTTATTGTGTAATAAGTAGATAGGCAAATATACAACATTTTTAACTCGTTTATCGATGTTCCGAGGATATAGCTATTATGCTAATAAAAAATTAGATAGCCAAAATGGATGATTTCACATGATTAAATGCTCGATTCAAAAGGGACCGTGCGAAGTTATGAACTTTTATGACTATATTTTGAATACAGAATCGGTTTTAAACTATAAAAAAAACCTACAATCAGATTAATAATGATCTGTTGTAGGAAATACACGTACAAATTGAAATATTACCTCTATAAAAAAGAAACTATAATATTATATTACACAATTAATTATTGCTATTTTACTCATATATGCTTCCAATATTTATTTATTGTTATACTGAGAATCAAGAGTTAAACTTGATTATGCGTCATGTTAAACTTTAGTGAGTCAAGTAAAACAATAGTGCCAATTATCATTTATTATGAATTCGCTATGTCCCTTAAAAAAAAAAAAAAAAATGAAAGAACATCAGTAAATAAATATATGTATAGTCAAGTAGTCCGAGATTACGCATTCAGTGTAATAACAGTTTGCTCAATCCTCGGTCTCCATCAGTCTGTTCGTACGTAAAACGACTATTTAGATTACAAACATTTAGAAACCAATACCCATGCTAGTATTTGATAGTAGTTTTTAGAAATAATCCCAGATAAATGTAGTTTCATCAAAAAAAAAATTCTCTTTTTTCAATTATTCTCGCGTCTCGGTGTCCTCGATGTCTATCCTAATAATTATTATGCAAAAAAAAAAAAAAACTTGAAAAGAGTTGAATAAACTATCTATGTAGAATATTCAATAAATAACCCTTCTAATCACTGTGATTGCAAAATATATCATTTTCATTTATTTAATGAATCAGTTCAGTTATTCTTCAATAGAAAAAGAAAAAATAAATTTTTTTATCATTGAAATATTAAAAAGTCGCACTGATTGAAAAATATTGCCTGTTAACATAAATATAAATAAAAAATCAAGATAAATTATTCGATATTTTGCAATCACTTTGAAAAAAATTTCGTGACTGTATCATCGTTTTCATCGTACCTCTATAAAATATATATTATTCGTATATGGCACAATGATAAGGTCATGGATATGTAAAATGCATTTTGCGGGATAAAAAAAGAAGAAAAACCAGTCGATTTTATCAATCGCAAAGTGCTCATAATGGCAATGCATAAGAACATAAATGTTAGAAATATTTTTTAACTTATACTAAATGTGATAATTGATGAATTGACAATGAGCAATCTAATTGTAATATAAATATTATATTATATTATAATAAATATATATGTATATAAATGTGTACACATTAGCATGATACATATATATACATATATATATATATAAATACAGGATAAATTAAAACTCATATATTAATTGATGTTGTACAAGCCATAACATAGAACTTTTTCCATAATATGTGTTAGCTGTACGTGCATATGTAAATGATATATAAGAAAGCACAGTTAAGTTTTAGGAAATAATGAATAAAAATAAAAAAATGGTAATATATATATATATATATAAATATATATGTATATGCCGTCATAATTCTGTCCACGATTCATCTAATGACGCGAGGTGACGAAGGTAAACTTAAAATCTGATTATCGTTCGTCCTTCGTTTTATAGTTTACACACGTTGATGATATATACTATGCCGTTTTAGATGAAAGTAAAACAAGATTTACAATTTACAATTATCTACTTGCTCTTTCAATTTCAATATTGGTACAAACGTCATTTTTAATCCGATCCGATATGCTGTCATAGTTTGTATGTTTAATCGACCAAAGTAATAACTGACAGATGAAATATGCCATAAGAAAAAATAATACACCTCGCGCCAATGGTGTGTATAAATGATGAAATAATAATAATAAAAAAATTAATAATTATATTATATATATACAGACATATATAATATATATAAATAAATATAATGATAAATATTAACATCGCTACACTATATTATACTCTATAACCAGTTGTTGTCTACGATATAATGTTATTTTTCTAATTCATATTTAATTGTTATTGTTGAGGACGAACACATCGAATTTTAGACGAGAAATGTGTATGTATTTAGTTGCTGTCATTTGAAAATAATGCAGCGATTTTCAAACGCAATTGCACGCGTATATATAGTTAACCCAATTGCTTATTGCAATTAGGGAAAGTGCTAATTCGTCTCCATTTCCAACTCGAATATACACATACACATGTATAAATTGTGGAGATTTTAGTCAAGTATTTTAAGAAAAAAATTCCAATGTCAACCGTTGAATTATAAGGCACTTTATTAAACTGTTTTTATTCATATTTACGCTTCATCAAGTGAATTTACAAATTTTAATCACTGTGCCAAATGTCATACTTTTGTTATTTTTACTCAATATTTTAATATATTTGTAATTGTTTTGTAATTTTTAACTTTTAACATTATTTCAAAAAATATTATTCATTCTACGCTGAGACTAATATCTATTAAATCAGATATTAAAATGGAATATTTTTCAAAGATATTTCTCTATACCAATAATTTATTTAACTATCAATTTGAATAAATAAAATAAATATTCAATATTCCATTCAAGATTTTATAAAATACTTAAAAAAAATAAAACAGATGTTATTTTTTCAGAGCTGTTTATTAATGTCCCAGTGTAAAATAAAATAGAAATAGTTGAAATGAATTTGAATTCTTAAATAAATTATTTAAATATGTTAAATTCATTAAATTGGCCATAGTATCGTCAAAATAACTATTCGATCTCATTGATTTTAAATAATGTTAAGATAAAAAAAATTTTTTGATTAAAAAATAACATACTTGTATCATAATTATAATATAATAATTGATAAATTTTGATGATTTAATCATTTTATGTATATTCGATTATTTCTTATATTATTTTCTAAAAAAGTAAATAATTGATATTAACTTAAACAAACGAAAATAATTCTACAATACTCACAAGTGAGCATACAGCAATTTTAACGAGTAGTACACTGGTTCTAGATAATGCTGTAAACACGTATTGTATTTTTTGTAAGGCTTATTTGGCCGGATTGTGATAATCGAGTTTGCATCATTGTCAAAAGCTATCACCAGCGTATCACTCATAATTAAATCTAACTGAATATAAGTTAGATTTTTTTAAAAGCATAAAAAACTGTAGCTAATGTTTAAATAATTTACGATTACTAGTTAATAACTTTACCATTATAAAACCAAAGTAAATTTGTTTTTATTATTAATTAAACAGTAGTTAAACATTCTCAAAGCATATGTAATATTGTTATTGCTTTGAGAATTAAAACAAATGTAAAAATTCATATGAAAATGGTAAAAGAAAAATTTACATACTCCAAAAAAAAAAAGTGGAGGAACAGTCCGTAACTTTACATGACGATGTATAAGTAAAAATTGTGAAATATTAAAAATAATCTAGCACTAATTATTCTGCTAAATTTTCATATTACTGTAATTTATACATGAATCGTGGCAATAATAATTTTTATTATAATTTCATAAAATTTTACTCTATATCAATGTCGTGCAAAGAACGGCTGAACTCCTCGATGTTGTGAGTATACATACTCGTTCTTAGTAACTCGTATGATGATTACTATTCCTACTACTCATGACATTACATTGATCCATTTTACTCTACTTATTCGAAAAATAAATAAATAAATTCTGTCCAAATATTCTTTATTCTGTACTCATTACTTCCCTTTCTATATCATCAATTTTTCCTCTCATCATTCATCAAGTGAAAAAATCAATTCAAAATACTTATATTTTTATGATGATTAAACATTGCTATTTTATTTCATATTCATACTATAATTAGCTTCTTACAACTTTGAATTACAATCATATATTACAAAATTCTATAATCTTTAATGTCATGGCTAATTATATAGATATTTTTTTATAAATTCGAATTTTTTTTTTACTATTACTCTGTAATATTCTTATTTAATTATGTAATTGAATTGTACTGACATTATTTTATATTTTGATTTAAAGAAAAATAAATTTCCATACTTTCTATGTTATTTTAACATAAATCTAGAGTTAGTGATATTATTATACGTGAATGAATTAGAAAAGCGTAAAAGATTAATTTAGTAGTAGTTATTTGACAATATATATTAATCATTTACATGATTATTATTGTCATACGAAAAGACTTATAATTTCGAATAACTAATAATTTTTTTAAAACTATATATTAAATTAAATCAAAATTTGATTTTTTTTTGAATAAAATATTCTTTAAACTCATTTAAAAAACAATCAGTCGTCAATAACTACTAAAGATTAGTAGAATAAAAGATATGAGATTGAGATATACTTCAATGAAAAGAATGATCAGTAATTATACGTTTTAACGATAAAAAGTAAACTTCTAAAGAGTATTCAAAGTAAATACAGTCAGATTGGCAATAAGGAATGATAAAAAAAATTATTTGTAGAGTAAAAAAATTAAGACCCTCTGTCATTTAATTATGACAAGTAAAGTTATAGAAAGATTTCAGAAATATGTTTGATTAAGACAATTTATTAAATTACTGACTAAAATGAATACGTTTATACTCAGCAAATTTGAAAAGATTCATTCGCTAAAACTCGAAAGTACTAATATAGTAGAAAGTAGTTCGTTAGTAATTGAAGCTCTATAACTATGTCAGATAATTTTACCAGCCTTTTTAATAAATGTCGATGATGAAGATATATTTCATCAATTTTTCATTATAAAATAACTTTAATGGAAAAGAAACTTTTTTTTGTTTCTTATTTGATAATATTCGATAAAAAATTATAAAATAATTTATCAAAAAATTCATAAAAATAAATTGAAATGATGTTTAGAGATATAAAAAAAAAATCTTATTCTATATCTATAGTCGAACCTTAAGTTCCTCCATGCGTTGTTTTATTCGTCGACGCATTTCTTTGTATCTAAATAAAATGTGTCGAACCAATTAGAATGTTTTAAAAATGTATTAATAAACAAGATAAATCTACTTACTTTTCTTTCAAATGAGATATTTGTCGTTCTTCTTCAAAGTGATATCGTTGTAAAATCCCATGGCATTCAGCTATCGAAAGGTTTAAAAATTGTGCAACATCCGAACTTATTTCGGGAGTCGACAATTTATCGACTAAAAATAAACGAGCAACGTTTTCATGAGGTCCAAGAGAAACACGAACTTCAAGAGGATATTCATCATCCCTTAATCTGCGTTGCTCTGTAAATAGAGAAGATGTAAGAAATTTTTCAACTAAAGTCAACCATTTTTCTTTAAATACCGTCATAAAATCTTACCTCCATTGTCTCGAACAACGAACAAAGCAAAATTGTCAGGTTTCGCGTCAACTTTATATTTGTCAAGCATAAGATTTATAACTTCTTGAGTGCTGACAAGACTAGTTACCCATACAGACATTTGAGAACCATGAGGAGGTGTGAAAAAACTAGTTTCTCGATTATAGAAGTGACCATTTATTGAACATCGACGTCTTAATCTACTTTTTGATTGTCTTCTACCACCTGGACGTCGACGTATGGCTGTAGAACCTTGTTTACGACGTAAAACCACTCCGTCTAATTCTAATCCACTATCAGTGGACATTGTCATATTATCATCGTCCCTAAAATGAAGGGAACTTACAGAATCTGTGTCACTATCAGTGCGATTTCTTTGGAGACAATCAGGTCCTGACATCGAACGGTTCAATCCTTTTTCAATCCAGCTGTCATCATTACTTATTGATCGGTTGCTATTACTTTTCTCAAAACTGTCATAATAATCAGTTCTTCGTAGAGTTCCATTTCTACCCAGTGTACTTTGATTATTTGGAGTATCTGTGCCAGAGGAACTATCTATGCTATGAGTAGGGGTACTGTTAATACTACTATCATTGGTTCTAGAGTGAGAATTTGAACTATTTACAGTAGAGCTACTTCGAGTATCTGATGAATCGGTAATTGGTTGACTTGTCTGAGATGATTCAGTACTGGAATGTGAACTTATAGATGGAAGATTTTCGGGCATAGTTTGATACAATTTATCACCATCTTCAATTTTACGTTCTACTTGAAGTAATTCATCAAGTTCATCTAATTCCATGTTTTTAACATCAAGTTTCATAGGCAATGTAAGACTTTTCAAGTGATCTGGGGACGTGGGTAATGAATTGGGTTCACTTTCTAATTGACTTTCTGTAGGAGATAAATCTTTCATTGAATTTACAGGTTTTTCATCGTTTTCTTCTATTTCCTAATTTCAATAATAAAATCAAGAGAAAATTACTAGTTTCAAATATCAATTAATTGCAATAAAATGTATTAAGAATTTATGAATTACCTCTGATACACTTTTTCTACATGAATTTCTATTTCGAGCTGTCACAACAGTTCTTTGATCATCGTCTTCTTTCAAATGTATAACACCTTGTACACCCCAATATATCCTCAAAGCTCCTTCTAATATTAATCGACCATTTACCTAGAAATCAATCAAAATGCAACTCCAAAATATTTTCAAGTGTTAATGATAGTAAAACAGGTATTAAAAATATGTAATAATAATTATACCTCTCTGCTTCTTATTCCTCCACTTTTTCCTTCATAATACTGATTGAAGACCTTTAATTTTGTTTCCAAATGTGATCTGTAAAAATTCATCACAAAATATACAATTCTGAAATGTTCTCTTTGTATATATATTTTTTATTAACTCACCGTGGTAATGATGATTTGGCTTCTTTTTTACCAAAACTTGTATGAGATTCAACCCTAGTACCATGTCCAAATAATTGTGGACCAAATAAAGCACCATAACATGGTACATGACAATAAGGAACTCCTTTATGCTATAATTTTATTAGTTTCGGACTGAATTACAAGTCATATTCTTCAATTTTATTTAATTGAAGACAGGAATTTTTAAAATCGTTATAACATCAATGTAAAAAATTTTTGAAAAGAATAATTACCTCTGCATGCTGGCCAGGATTCAAGCGTTTTCCACATTCTTCACATCTTAAGCATTCAGGATGCCAATCATAACCCAATGATTGTTTCCGTTCCGCTAAAAAATATATTTATATAAATAAAAAAATAAAATGATTTCAAAAAATAAAACAACTCGGAAAAGTATATTTCCCTGTTATATATACGTATATATATAGAAAAGGATAACCTTGATTAGAGTACATTGACCTATCTAAATTTATTGTTATTCAATTTAAATTTTTGTTTTAAATTTTTTTTATCATCAAACAATCATTACTATTTATTACAACGAAATTATTACTAATATAACTTTCATATGAGAAAATTAATTAAAAAATAAATTTAAGAAAGGAATTTAGTATTTACCGAAATAAACAGGTTTTCCACATTTGTGACACTTCCACATGATGATATTATTGGCTGTAATAGACAAAATATTATCTTTGATATTGCAAATAAAGATATATCTATATCATTTTGTTTATAATAATAATAAAACTTTTTTTTCTAAATGACGTGAAGTATACATTTACGTTTACCATAGACAATTCACCTATGAAGGAAAGAGCAAGATAATACAAATATATCAACAAGATCAACAAAAATAAGAATACAAAAATACTGTGTACATAGGAATCACGGCATGAAAGATCGCCATTTTGATTTTATTTTGCTCTTCAACGCTACTAGCGCCTCTATTCAATATTTTTGCTATCTACGATCGATTAAACAGTTATTGGTGAATATTCATAAAAGTTAAATTTTAGCGGGAAATCTACCCTTGTACGAATAGCTGCATGAAATTTATATTGGATATTTGTACAAGGGTAGATTTGAGTTCGATGCATTCCTTCATAGATTTTAGAAACACTGTAACTCATTAGATTAGATATGCAAATATTAATTATAACCCTTATAATAAATTCATTATATATTTATTGATTCGATGATAGTATATAAATAAATAATACATTATAAGTATTTTTTATTGGATTTATAAATTATGATTGAAATAAGACAATAACATTATTTACAGAACGTATTATTTTAAATAAATTAGTAACTCTTCTGCAATGATTTTAATTTATGGTTGTGTGTATAAAATATTTTACGATTGTCATCAATTAAAAGAACTTAGAACATAATCAACGGTGTCTAGGTAGTTCCAAGTATAATAATTTTATGTTTTATCAATATTGCACCAGTTTTGGTAACACAGAGATAACTTGTTTCTGTAAAAATCTTTTAAATTAACATACTGTTGATATAAAAATATTTGGCAAATTATTAATTCATATCTTGTTGTTTTTTCTTCACTAAATCAACTAACTGACGATATCTTATCTGACACTCTTCCTAAAAAATGAAATTTATGACCATTATAAATTTTTTTATGTTAGTGTTGTGACAGTAATTTTATAAACTCTTTAGCTAATCTTTACTTACTTTCGTTTTTCCGTCGACACAATTCGCAATTTTTTCCCATCTGTCAACAGATGATCCTTTAGGATATTTCAAGAGTGCTGATTCCAAAGCTTTCTGCTGATCTTGTGTCCAAGTAGAAACATTATCAACAACTTCAACACGAGTTTTGACTTTTTTCGGTTGTGTATTTATAGGAATCTCATCTGATTGCTGGCCAGGCTTTATACCTTCATCTTTGATTTTTTTAGCCATATGTGTCACTTCACTAATACTCCGATTCATTGCATCCGATATTTTTTCCCATCGTTCTGGTGTACCACCAGGATATTTTTTAACTAATTTAATCAATTCTGCAATATCATCATCAGTCCATAGTCCACCAGTATATTTAGGCTTTTCATGAACATTAGTCGATTTAATGTTTTCTTTTTTTTTCGTTTCTACAGTGATATTTCCACTTTGTTCTTGTGGTATGAAGCCTGCCCGACGACGCCGAGGACCACGCACAATTGGTTCTGATTCCATTTCTTCATTTTCTTCAGCTCTAAAATATCAAAAAATTCATAAACATTGATACAATAGGGTTTTTAAAACTTCATAAAAGAAAATTAAATTATTTTACAATGCAGCTTCTTCCTCTTGTTTCCTTCGTTTCCGTTCTTCAATCATAGCTTTTATCGCTCGAATTGTCGACGGAATTCCAACGATGGAGGCTACAGTCCAACAAGGTAGTTGAAATGGTAGAGTATTCCAAACACTTGGTGTTGGTATTTTTTCCAATATCTCTGCTAGATCGGGAATTTCCGTTTTGGTTTTACGATTTTTTTTTTGTAATTTTTGTAATTTACTACCTAATACTTGTTCCTGGAAAATACATTATTAATTAATACGATTTATTTAATAAAAAGTTTAATGCAAAAATAAATAAATGTCTAGTCTATGACATATACTTACGTAAGTATATCTTTTTTCAAAATAAGCTGCCCATGCAACAAGATATTGTCCAATAGTTATTACTATAAATAATATAATACTCATTTCCAGCAATCCCATTTTTCGAACATGTCGGTAGTAGTATACCGCAGATCGCCAATTCGGCAATCCATTAACGAGAACATTATCATAATGTTTCCGTTTGTTGACATCTTTCAAGACATCATAAACAGCAACTAACTAAAAATATTAACAATTACTTGATGTGAACATAAAGAAATAAGTAAAATAAGTGAAATCTTTACTCACGTTCCTGAATTTTACTTCTGCATCTGGTGCATCATTTTTGTCAGGATGCAATTGGAGTGATAACTGACGGAAAGCTTTTTTAATAGTTGTCGAATTAGCATCCTACAGAAGTAATTAATGTCATTAATAATGTTATAAAAAATATAAGTAACAATTTACTAAATTAATAAATATGTTCAATAATATAAAATAACCTTACATTTGAAATTCCAAGAAGTTCATAAAAATTCTGATTTACTTCCTCCACAACGTCAAAAACTTCCAACTCTTCATCATCCCAAGCCACTGAGAGTTTACATATGTTCAAAAATTGTAAAATACTTAAAATTATTACTACAATCTTCATCTTGTCTTTTGAAACAGAAACATAATAACAATTATTGGCTATTTAAAATTTTAATGGTATGATCCGGATTAAGTCACAACATTAAAAGAAAAATATAATAAACTAATTTATTGAAAGATTTAATATCTTCACTCAAAATTTTATGTGCCACATCGTCTTTTATACATTTCTGTTGCTTATGTTTCTCATTTATTCAAAGCCAGCATGTGTAAATGTATATGTATACAATTTTTGGTTATAATAATTTATTTGAGTTCCAATAGATGGCTTCAAAAATTTTCATCTAAATTAACGATGACCGATAACATAATTTTTTCTGTTTTATCGACTAATTTTCTGGCGCCATAAATTAAAATTTTTTATAAATTTATTTAATAAATTAATTGATATCTTATTGAAAAAGATATTATCTCTAATTTTTATATTCTAAATGTCTTTCATTTGAAAATACCACTTCTACCTAAATAATAGTTATTTCATTATTCTAATTTTTTAAATTTCACTAATCTGGTTTATTACTTTTACCATCCCTTTGACAAGCTTATAGCGCAGAATCCGACAACTTACCCTCGATATACAAAATCAACCCACTGTATACATACACATATATAAAATTATACCTGTATATGTTTATGCGCATACGTCACATTGAGGATTCGATGTTGCTTATCGTTTTTCTCTACCCGTAGAATGGTGCAGGCTACCCGCATCTATCAGCCTGTCGCACCAATTCTTCTCTTTCACTTCATCTATCAAGTAAGAGTGATAAGCTTTAGCAAATAAAGTTCAATAATTAATTAATATTTTTATCACGATTAAATAGACTAAAATACGCAGAAATGAATTACATATTTTTTAACGTGATTTGATAAAAATTTTTATTCGCATTCGTCAAAAGTCGATCAATACGAGCTTCTTCGCTCTTTAAGTCTTGACTGTACCAACTAGTCCGAGTGTATTTATTTCTTAATGCGTAAGTTAATTATTCCTTATATTTACAGTGCTTTATTACATTTGTGTTGTTGATATAAAATAGTTTTTTTTGAAGATTATGAATTAATTAAAAGTATGTTGCTGGTGTTAATATTCATCACAATTTGATTTTTCAACCACGAAATTTACAATGGTATCATTATTATAGTAATAATGAAATATTAATTATTACTTTTTTAAATAAAAAATCAATGTAGAGAAGTTTATTTGATGATGTATATTTTATGTAAATCGTAATCAATAGTGTAACGTAAATAGTACCAATAATAGTGAATGTTTGTTCTACCATTGAAGGTCTCTGCTAAGGTCTGCAATGAAGGGCATGCGTAAGTTCTGAAAATATCAAATTATTTTATAATAATAGTTTCTGATAATATGATTTATTGATAATCAATTATTTTGGAATATCAATATCAAGATATTATTTTGCAGTTGCTCTCCACCAAAAGAGTGCTGTTCGTTGGGCTGTTGTTATATGTATTCACAGCCAACTACACCAGTCACAGAAATGTTTGCAATCCTGATCTGGACTTATTGGTATTTATGGTTTGTATCCATTTTTTTCTAATAAACAATAATTTATCACAAATTGTAGCTTATATTAAATCAAATTCATAGTTAATAAAATCAATCTTTTAGAATAGAATTTAAATTAAAAATAAGATTACAGAAACCAATAAATCTTAAATTTGTAAAATTTTAATTGAATCTTTTTCAAATCAAAGTAAACCTTTAAATATCATCTGACGTCAATAAAATTCATAAATAAATTCTAATTCGACATACATTCGATTGTTAGGGCGGCTATATTAGCAGGATTGACGTTGGCAGCAGTATGTGGCTGCTGGTTGTGGCAAAGACGTCGGATGGGTTCATCAGATGATAGCACTATATCAGATCGAATGTCATCGACATCACGTTATGCCCCTCCACATTATAGTCGATGTAGCTCGTTTGTTCAAGCACTGCCACCCCCATACAATGAGGTGAAATACATTAACCCTCATGCTACATAAACCCAGACTAATATTTATTATAGAATATAATAATTAACTATTATTGTTATTTGTAGGTGACAGCAAAACCAGATTTGTATCCACTAGTAATTGGTTATGATGAAGGAATGGGAAAAGGTACATCTGGGTTCGTGATGCGGTACTTTCGCACGTTATCACACGCAAGTACTTTGGATTCACTGAGTTCTAGTTTCATGTGTAATGTCGTGAATGAAGCTAACACAATCATTCCACCGCCATACTCCTGTAACAATAGCATTGATGAATTATCAGCAATGGGATGCGACAGAGTGGAAATCGTTGCTGGAGAATCAGTTGTTTCTCTTTCTCACAATAGAACAACGTCAGACATATCGAGTTTAGCGGCCCAGTCGCCGTGTTCTCCACCTAGAGCTACTAGTCCTACATTAGAAGTAAATATAGTAGTTAATAAAATAAAATTAACTTTAAATATTCTTTTTAACACATTATTTTTTGGCAGTTACGAGAATTACTTGACAAAATTCAACAATTACCTAATGAACACCAAAATCTAATATCTTCTCTTTCAAATCGGCCGCAAGTACCTCACTCATTGAACGTGAATTCATCATTCCCTCGACCATCAAGTCCAAGTGAATGTGCATTAACTCGAATGAGACGCGCACGTGGAAAGATGTATATGCCTTTAGGATTGCCTAGTTCAAGAAATAAAACTAAACGATGGTTATCTCGATCAGCCCCTACAACACCTTCGGGAAATATCCCAATGACTTTGTTACCTGGACAAAGTATGAGGCCTTCGGAAACTGATAATTATAATCAGCAAGTAGTCCCTCTACTTTCAGAACAAGAGGAAACGGATACTAACAATATTGAAAATTCTCGTCATGTATCATCATTCTCAGAGCATGAAGAAGAATCTCAACATTTATGACAAGAATGATATTATTGTGATTTTTAAAAGAACTCTTTTAGTCGACACTCATATAAATGACTGATTGTCATTAATAATATGTTTGAAAAAGTGAAAATCAATCCTCTGCATCAGCGAAATACCAAAAAAGTAAAATGAATATTAAGACTGTTAATGCTAGAGGAAAAGTAATTAGTATTTATCAGTATTGATTTTAAGAAAAAATTTTTCATTAAAGTATTCGTTTTAAAGTATAATTAAAATCCATGTGTGATGGATTTTTAACTGCCCTCCGTTGGTGCCGGATGATTTTTTTCAATATAACATTGAAAAGTGACGATTTAAAAAAAAAACATTACATCGCAAATAAATAAATTAAACCAACATTAGGTTACTCTTGTTAGAATTTTAGATTTGCCTTTCATTAAGAAATATTTTGAATAATGTATTCACATTAAATACATCGAATTACACAATCATTGCTTGAAACTAAAATTATTCATTCATTTTTATTAAGATTAAACCAATGAGAGCACTTTCGATGTGCTTACGTTCAATTCGTATTCAATTGACAGTTTTCAAATTTAGTCAGCATAGTTATGTAGAAAGAGAAAAAAAATCCATCCATTAATAGCCACCCGGAGTAAGCGTCATGGATTAACGAAATTTTTAATGACAATATGAATTGTTAATGAAAATAATTAATTGTAAATGACGAGATTACATTAGGAATCAATGTACAATATGAAATCCGTCAAAAAATAATATTTAAATAAAAAAAGTGTGTTAGAAATGGGCAATAACATGATCAATAGTAAGCACACGTTCATTTGCCCAAGTGCACAAATGCGATATGTACAGTTAAACCTCTGGAAAATCATATTAATTGTATATCATGTACAACTCTTTTCCTAGAATACATTTTGGAGTTTTTAAAAGGCATGCCTAATTATCATATATAAAAATCAATTGATATCAAATGTATGTTAAAGGAAAACGATGAATTAAGAAGAAAAAAAAAGTAATTTACGATGTAATAATAAACTAAAACACAAGTGATAATAGTTAATTATTTTTATTTTAAAATCTATTCATTAAAAAAGAATGGAATTTTATCTTTAGTTTTGTAAACTATATTTAATCAATATATTATTCAGTCATTTTATTCGTGATTTTAGTATAATAGTTATTTTAAAAAATAAACTTTAAATAAATAATAAATTTCTTACTTTACTATAAGGGATGAACTTGGAAAGGCTCTACTGTACATAGAGGAATAATATCTTAAATAAATCGTACGATGCACTATAAAAAAAAAACGATATTCATACGTACTCAAATGAAATAATAAATTTTGAAAATTTATTCGAAATTCGGTACGCACATAAATAAAGTAAATTAATTTTCAGGGGTAGTGAAAGATTTTATTGTAACATATAATATGAAGCGGCCGATCATTATTATTATAAATGTATATTAATCATATACATTACGTATTGTCATGTATTTTTTTATGAAATATAAATAAAAATGGATTTCAGGCCTTTATGAGATTTCACATCAATGTTTTATACAATTGTTATCTCTTAACTGCTATTTCATTATTTATTATCTTCAAACAGTTTGAAAATCAACCCTCTATTTATATATTTTTTTTCTGATATGAATAAACAAGAAATAAATAAATTATAGATAATATATTTATTTCTGTAATGTTGTATAATTTTTAAATAATCAATTGGTAAATATAATACTTTTTTATTATAATATCAACGAATTACATATGTATACCAGTTTATTTAAAAGTTAGACGGATAAAGTAATTGATCTGCATTTTGTACACTATTATTTTTTTATTATTATTATTTCATGTAGATATAGGTGGACGTTAGTAATATACTTTCTTTTTCACTCAAGACTTTTCAATTTTTAGACCATATTTTATTTATTTATTTATTATGCCTTTTTATAATTTTTTTTTTTTTTTCGTTGATCGAAAAAACACAACTCTATTAAGCTTTAGAAACATGTATGAAATAAATTAATTCATTGACTTTCGATTTTATTGATTTTTTAATGTTAAAAAATCAATTAAGACCGAAATGATTAAATAAAGCAAAATTACACAAACATTTATTGCATTTAATCTTGTTAACTATTTAGATATATGAAAATAATAGTCCAAAAATATTCATATAAAATATTTATGATATTAATGTGTATATGAAATAAGATATATCTGTAAATTCTATTGGGATAAATGGTTAAGATTAATCAAAGTAAATTTTTTAAAAATAATATTAAAAATGATATATAAAAAAAATATAATTCATGATTATTTTCGAGATGTACATTTATGCCTTTGTAGTATTTAAAAACAATTAAAACGAAATGTTCGCCAAAAATATATACATGTTTCGAAAACAAATACAATCAGAGTGCAATTTTAAGATAATTGTACCCTGTTAAAATATATCACATATTTATAAATCAACTTATATATTTTTACAAATTAGATATAACATCCGAACAATATAAATTTTCCTCCCTTTTTTGTTTTTAATTTAAATTATTTAATGTAAAGCTATATTAAAGAGTAGTTATCGCTCAACAATACCTACAGTACACATACACTTATTAAAAATGTGACACTCAACTATATGTAACAATCCAATCGCAAATTACATTGAAATATTCTTTTTTCACAATTATATTTATAATATTTGTTGTCATTTATATAATAATTTACATCTATGAGAATTTCAATCAATTAATTTCCAGTTAATGTGCGTATAAACGCATATAGATTCGATTATAGTATACAGATCTTGATAAAGAATAATTTAATAAAAAATTTCAAAATAAAATATAATAAAAATCTTTTTTTTTTTCAAAAATTCCTATTTGTTAAGCATTAATTTCACATTATTCTATTATCTTTTTATATTGACTTAACTATTGTTTCAAATCAGACTTTATATTATTACAATTGTAAAACTCACCTCTAAACATGTGTAAGTGTATTGAAGTTCTGATGCCCATGAAAAAGTTAAAAAATCCTCCGTTATAATTGAGAAGTTTCGAAAACTAATTTTTTACTGGCCGACATTACGTTAAATACTTACTAATTTGGTATTATTTTCTTGTAAAAATTATAAAATATTATATAAAAAGTTTGTAGAAAATGGATTAATGTTACCTGTTTCATTGATAATTATAGTGCATATCACTGGATAAAAAAAAAATATCATTTAAACAGCAATCAGCACCCTAATGTCATGGTTTTAAGCAATACTTGTATGATTATTAGCTCCACTAATCGCACTGAATAGAGCCGCACTATTTCTTTTAAAACTTCCAATTTCATCATCAGGCCAAATTGATTCACCGAGTAATGAAGATAAATTTTGGCATAACTTTTGATAATTTTCTCGAAGAACTTCTTGATATTCTAGCTGATCATTTGTGATCAATTTACCATTAATTTGAAGTGCCGTATAACATATTTTAATGAAATCTCTGAAAACATCTTTCAATTCTTCAACTTTATCGTCAGAATATTGAGGTGAAAGTGCAGGATCTAGAAACGCCGATGCATAAGCTAAAGGTCCAGCATTTACTGTCACACAAATACTTCCTTGAAGTTTTAATTGTAATTTTTTAGCATCAGTAGGTGCTATTAAAGCAACATCTTCTAACTCTTGAACTCGCTGTCTCATTTCATCTAATGCAACTTCTATCGGACTAAGTTCAACGATCTTTTTTCCAATAACTGGAATGCGTTTCTTAATGTATGGAAATGCATATTGTGTAGTAATAATTGTTCTTCTTTTCCACTGATCTTCAGGATTTCCTCGAGGTTTTCCTTCATGAGTAAATGGAGTTTCAAACATGAAACATGATACATCATGATTTTGTTCAAATTCAGTAACTCGAGACTCAAGCTCGACCTTTTCAAAATAAGGTGTTACGTGGGTAACTTGAATGTATGCTATTTTTGTATCAAGGTCTTTTAATTCAATCGGTGCTGAATCCATAATCATTTTAACGTTTTCTATTCCAAATTTTTCAGCATATAAACGATGAAGCCGCTCTGAAATTTCTGATAAAGAAGTTACTTTAGGCTCTTTATAAATATATTCTTGTCCATTTTCTTCCTCAAAATAAGCCTGAATCAAAATTAAGATATAAAAATTTTTAAAAAAAGTTCTTTCAAATATTAATATACTACAGAAATTAAAAATAGAATCTTACTGATCCGAAGAATGCGACTCTATAAAATCGTCCAAGTAATCTTTTTCCAGTTTTTGTGACTTCGACAATTTTATTACATGCTTGTGTCAGATGAGAATAACAGTTAGATAATGCTTCATAATTCCTTTTATTTTCATAAATAGGAATTATCAAACGATACAGATGTCCGAGTAATTCAAAGCGTTCAGCCTTCTCTAGCATTTCTGTACAACTTTCTAATTGCTCCAAAAGTATGGACTCATTATAATGAATATCTTGTACCCCTGAAAGACATAAAAATATCTTGTACATCAATTTAATTTTCTTGTACGGTATACAACACAACATATAGCATTATAAGCAAATAGCATTAGATACAATTGTTAGTGCAAATGCAAGGTTAATTTAGACATTTAACTACGACATGTTTACGACATACAAATCTCACCAGCATCAAGCTTGAGTCCTCTTTCATCTCGAGAAATATTGACAGATATTTTATCAAATGCTTCTGCACCCCATGAATGGATCTTTTTTAATTTTAGATATTCTGCCATAAGAGCAGCAATATGTAATTGACAACAAGCCGCCTAAAATTGTTTTGATTTGATAAAAAAATTTGAATACAAAAATTACATTGTTCGTTAGTATGATTAATTTATTGTAAGTCTTTTATTATATTATTAACAAATAAAATTTTAAAGAAAAATTACCTCTGAAAAATTTCCATCTCTAGCATGATTGCGTGCCATTGTTTCGAGCCATGTATGCCTTAACTCTGGCGTGCTTGCATATGAATTAGCTAAACTATGTTGAAGATCAACGAGCATTTCCGGATCATTATTATGTTCTCGCATTTGTGCAGTGGCCATTAATACAGTACGAATTCTTTTATTTAAATCTTTAACTTCTACAGGAAAACCAGTTCCTTTCATTACTTTGTCTGACGAAGCATAACTGTTAATAAGTGATAGTGATTCTTGAAATCGTGAGTTATTGAGTCCTATCACATTTCCAAGCATTTGTGAAACTGATATTATCACCTAGATAAGATATTTAATTTGAATAAATAGAAAAATTAAATGATATAAAAAATTTTCTATTTATAAGATATTACCTGCAAATGCACACGGATTAGTCCTTTTCTACTGGTGAATTCAAAGTTGCTTCTCATAAGTAGATAGAGCAATGCACATGACTCTTGTCTAATTGAGCTTAATTTACTATTACAGCATCGTAATAACTCATAACAAAGGCGGCCACAAAATACCGCGTTACCTAATATTGTTGTTAACAATTTTATATAAATATATTTAAATGATACAAAAAAATGTAAATAATAAATTTTTTTTTACCTTGAAATAATGCTATCGAATAATTATTAAGAAATGCTCGTAAACTAGCAAAAACATGTCGAAATAATGTCTCAGACTGACCAAGTTGTAAGAAAGATAAATATATATTGAATAATTTCTGCATGACAGGATTATCACCATCATTAACTAAAAGCACATCCTGCAATCATTGATATAAATTTAATATAAAATAATTATTAAAAAAAATAACTAAGCATTATAATTTAAAAAAAAAAACAATAAGTTACTTAAAATTTACCTTAAAATGTATGCAGAATAATCCAACACAGTCAAGCGTAATAAGTCCAACTTCAGTAGCCATGTTTGCTTCTAGTAACACTTGGTGATGTACGTGATTTTCTTCTTCAACTAAATTTTCACGAGTTACAGTATTATGTGGTTGAAGAGTTCCAGTACCTGAACTATCGTTGGTGAAATCCGGTGGTGCCATTCTTGCTGGCAATGTCATGGCCTTAACAGTTTTGGGTTTACCGGCATTATTGGTGACATTAACGGCTGCTATTAACCGTTTTCCGATATATTTAAAATGATGTAAACTCATTTCGAGAACGGTAAAAAAACTTATTATTTCAGTTTCTGAGCATTGATGCCACCAGGCAATAACTTGGTGATCGCCTAAATATTTTATAACAAAAAGAAAACACAGTAACAGATCTTTCATTTCTGATGATTGGAGTTTATCACATCTAGCTGATGTTTGAGTTACGCTAACAGATCTAGAGTGTCCTTTCTTTTCAGAGGTACCATTCTCAATCGGTTCTCGAATAATGGTTGTTTCCTGAGAAATATGTGAATGCGAAGTGCTTGATATCGTCGATGCGTTAGATTCAATGCTAGCACAAGAAAAGCCATTCGCTAAACCTTGACCAGCAATTGCAGCAAAATAAGTGGAATCTCTAAGATGCATTGAAGCTCTTATTGGAGATTGTGAATCTAAGTGTAGAGTAAATCTATGAACAGATTTGGGTGTATCTGTCGCTGTAATTGAATTTACTGAATCTTTATTTAATAAACAATTACTACTACTACTTGATATTTTATTAGTATGATTTTGTCTCAATTCAGTCTTCATTTCAGTCTCATAAACAGATTGGAGTCTATGTAAATTTTCCAGAACCACTCCCAACCATGGAATATAAACTGCAGCAATACGACTCAATTGTCCTTTATTTTGATATCGATCATCTAATTCATGTTTTGCTAACAGATCGCGTAACGTAGCGATTGCAATTTTTCTGATTTGGACAATCTCATTCAGAGATGATTTTACTTCTTGAAGTAAAAGACCCACGAGAAAATGATGCTTGCAGAATTCTTGTGATAAACAGTATTCTAACATCAATTCTGAAATTTTGAATAACATTAATTAATTTTAATATATTTAATTTATTAATTATGGATGATGATTGAAATTTTTTTTAGCTATAAAAATTGTGTTTTATGAAGAAGTGTTTTAATGATCACACAAACAAGTGCTTATTAAATGAAAAATGACAACAAAACTCCCATTCAAAAATTAACAAAATAGTAATAGAATGAAATTATTGTGATTATAATAGGGAGTTGACAATATCAAAACATACCTTCCGGTTCTGTTTCTGAGTCTTCAGAATAAGCAATACAAAATTCATGTTATAATTTTTAATGTTAGGTTTACAATATTACTAAATGACAGATTGACTCACCTTTTGTTGTAACTCTTGTCTGCATCATAGGTAGATTAAAAGACACATAATGTTCATGAGAACAAATTATTTGTAGAAAGGTAAATTTATAGTCTTGAAGTGTCTTCGAATCACCAGGTGAAAAATTATCCATATAATCATTAATTAGAGTAAAAACGAATCCTCTATCCATAAACGTCAAACATTTCTATAAGTAATGAATACTATAAATTAAATATAACTTTGACAAATAAAAAAATTAAAATCAAAATAATGACCTTTAAAAATTGTGCAAGACTTTTATTAAGCTCTTGTGTTTCAACTGGCATATCCTTATATTTATTCATAATGTACGGTGTAACAACTTCTAAAAGTTTTTTAATAGCTTCATGATAATCCTGTGAAAATCTTTCATTTCGATGCATCTTAATTCTTCCACTAGTTAGCATGTGTTGAGCCATACTCTTTACCATGATGTCAAAGAAAAAACTTGAGTGATGCATAAATTTATTCACAACCAGAAAGTCTGTATTATTTGGATGCAATAAAGATGGTAAATATTTAGCAAGTTGTTCATGAACAGTAGTAGTAACAATTTCTTTTGAAGGCAACATGAAAACATATTTAACGTAAGCTTGGATTATATCTTTTCTACTAGCTTTGAATATCAAATTAATTACGTGAATCAGTACACGAATAATATAAAGGCCAACTTCTTCAATGGACGTACAAGTAAGTAAAATAAATAATTGATTTAAAATTGTTGGTAGGAATGTAATGGCTGTAACTAATTGTATAGCATGTGCTGCTTTTAGTATTTTACAAGTTTCTGAATCTGATGGAATTCCAGATAATTTATTGTCCAATATTTTTTCAGCATGAACAAATAGATTATGAAGATGAGGATCTCGAGTGAAAACCGTTGATATTAATTGAAAAGAGACTGTAAATATAGGACGTTGGCCATCAATCCAAGTAATATCAGGCCCTGCATTGCCCTTTCCAAGTCCTAATGGTTGAATCGCCAAATAACCAGCTGGTAAATGTGTTGCCACTGGCAAAACTTGAATATTAGCTTCTATGTCAACTGCTAATCTTCCTTTATATATCAATGGTAACCATGCATATCCAACACAACTCTCGACTCCGTTTTCTTTTTTTTTGTTCATATCACAACTAATGTGATAAAATGAAAATAAGAGATGATGCTTCGCATGCAATTTAGTTGGTAATCTCATCTTTATCTCTTCATACCATGACGGAACTGCACTATGATGTAGAACAGCACAACTGGCTCGTGTACAAAGTATTTGCGAACCCGGTCGACCATAAATGCATTTTAATGGTTTAGCATCCTCAGTATCATTATCGCGTAATTCAACAATGCACGCAATATTTCGTGCTCGGTTAAAAATTTTTTGCGTATCGAAATTTAATACTTGAGGATAAATATATAAATGATTTAAATAAGTAGTATAAGGATGCACATCCTTTTCACAAGAACTTTCAAATTCTGCCACTTCTATTGTTGGTTTATTTGTAGGCGGTAATGGAAATGGTTTTAAAGGAGCCAAGGAAGTTGTTAAAGTATTTTCCGGAATATCTGACAATGGTTCGATCGTTAACTTCAACCATCCTGGTATCACAGTTAATTTACTAAGTTTATCTGGCTTTCTGTATTCAGCAAGCATTTTTAAAATCTCATCATCACGCATTTTATTCCCTTCTTGTCTATAAATTGCCGGAAAATCAGAAGATGTATCAAGTTCATTACTGTAGAGTCGAAATAAAGGTCTGGCTGCCCATGCAAAAGGCATTCTATAATTGCCTAATCGTTGACAACAAGCTCGAACGTTTTTGTGTACTTTAAGACCTAAACGAGGATCTTTTGTTGCTCTAATATACGGTTCAGATGTCTGACAAATACTTCCTTGAAGTATTTTTTCAATTCTTACAACAAGAAACACATCAGGATGTGGGTTACTAATACTGAATATTGCTTGTTTTGGATACTGAATCCATTTTTCAGGAATATTTTTTAATTCATTAGGTAGCTCACTTTGTTCATTTTTTTCAGTTAAAACACCATTGGGACTTAACTCCTGTACCATATCACGAACAATCTCATGATTAACATCAAAATGAAAATTTTCAGATAACTTTCTTCCATTTCTAGCGTCAAATAAACACAAAGTTGTATGGTAAGGTTCTACTTGACAAAGAGATTCATTTTCATCAATTGGTGCTTGCAATCTAAATTTAAGAGCTTCACATTTAATAAATATTCTCTGTCCAAACTGTTCTTTGTAAGGATCAACATTAGAATCATCAGAGCTTCCTGTCTGATATTTACTAAGTGGAATATGATGATATAAGCTAAATAAGCGTTTTCTATTTTCTCTTCTAGCTAATAGTATACTTGTATCAGTCTCACGAGAATATTTAATTAATTGTGGATTCATGCTTTGTTCTAAACCTTTCAAAGTTCCGTAAATTGGCATTGGTGTCGGTGAAGGTGGTGGAGTATTGCAAGTACGCTCTAAAGAAGCAGCACGCTTTTCTTCTTGTTGTTTATAATATTGTAAAACAGAACTTAACTTCAATAACCATTCCTGCATATCAGTTTCGTTATCAGCAGCAAATGTATAAAATTTATGAGTTCCACTCATTCTCAATTCAAAACAATATCTACCACGTTTAGGATTTCTTACCACTTCAGTACAAAAATCCATAACAATAGTTAATTTTGCTTCCCCTTTCTTTTCATCTTTGAAGAGTTCGAGAATATAAGTTCCATCAACCTCTTGTCTTAAATGACAAAAACGTCTTTTAAACGATTTTGATCCAATATTGACAAACATACGATCACTACTTCCTATTTCCGGTCCTTTCATTAAATACCCTTCTTTTGTAATTCCATCATTTTTTATCATCTCTTCATCTACTTGATCAACTTCTGTATCTATTTCATAAATTTCTTCCTTAAGATCATCACTTTTGGATAATTTTGGTAAATCAAGGTATGTACCGCTATAGGCAGCATACTTGTAATGAACTAAATTCCAATTTGATGCATAACTTTTAAGACATTCTTTCGTTAAAAGACTCTCTGTACCATCGGTTTCTTCAAGAATATTTTGCACAATTGGCTGTACTGTTCTATATCTTCTAGGTAAAACAATTTGCTAAAAAAAAAAAAATGAAATGTTTGTTATTCTTTAAGTTTAAAAGAATCATTGCTTAGTGCTTATCTTAATGTATGTTTTCCCGTGGTTACTTGATAAGAACTGATAGGAAAACTTACGGAAACATCGTCTGATGGATAAAGCAATAATTCTCTCTGTGGATCATTTTGTAGTAAAGTTTTATTTTTTAAAACAAAACTTTCAAAATCTATCGGCTCTACCAGATGAGGTTTATTCTGAAAAATTTAAATATAAAACTAAACAACTCATCAATTTCATCATTTATTGTATTAAATTCCATTAAAAGCAACTGATAAAATTAAATTGATATTTTTGATAAACCTTCATTCACCAAAAATATCATTTATTACTGACGATAAGCAGACATTAAGTGTTTATTCTAATATCATCGATAAATATAAAAAACATTTCTTGAATGCCACAGAAATAGATTAGTTGAACATTTCTTGGAAAAAACGTGTCAAGGCCCTACCTGGACTGTACTCTCTCGAACTACTTGAGATACAGTTTCCCTAAGTTGAGCAGCCATGCCGGGCTTTCCCAAAGCCCGGGTGAATTTTCGTTCACTCATATTTATTTACGACACTTGAGATTCATTTTATGTTTCATAGAATCACATCAAACCATCAAGCAAAACAAACTCGTTATAACACTCGACTCACTGCCATGTCGCCGCAGTTAGCCGCGACATTACTATATATATGTATGCAGATAAAAAGATTTGGAGTCAAAGCTCTTGTTATAGATGAACAACTATTATCCAATTAATTATTTTAAAAATTTCTGTTCTCAAATAATCATCGAAATGCTTGTAATATATGAAATTAATTTATTCCAATAATGTTATTTTTTTTTAATTATTTTCTAAGCAAATTAAACCTGATAAATAAATATCCCTAGAACAACCAATATTTAAACGTTTAAAACGCATGCGTCAAACTGCAATGTCCAATGGTGGGAGGTAATTCTAATTTGGCTACTGCGCGGGCGTACCTGTAAGTGCGATTGTGAATTCTCGTGAGATTGTGACTGTGAGTTGCAAATGGTAGTTGGACTGTCATCATTGTATCGTTAACATCAGGTAAGCATTCTTGAAGGAAAATTTCAAATATCTTTATTCTAAAAACTCATATAATGATCGTTACTGTCAAACAATCAAGTTGCATGTCTGCTTTCTACTCTGAATTGTATAAGGATCTCTTAGAATGTTTCTCCTATTACATAAAGTTATTACACAAGACTAAAATAGTTGTTCTAGTCTAATAATTCAACGGATAATTTTATTTATTACTGTATTATTTGTCATTTCAAAATTCTAGATCAAAAAAATAACCTCTCATGAGAGACCTTGATATTTTATCGATGATACCGGAAAATAACCTAATTTCAAGAAGCACACACATTTATGGTACACGTGTGTGTGAATTCGTGTTACCTATGTGCTTACCAGTAATGGTGCAATCTTACCAATAATTGGTGTATTAATTAAATATCAGTAAACAATTATTTATCTAATTTTTCTTTTATCATGTAACCTAGAAATATATGTATTTGTTAAAATTTAAAGTAACTACCAGTGGTCTCAGTTTTACATTGTGTCAGGTTAATCGGTGTACTTGACCTCATTGGAACATACAATTGTAAGATAACTTTGACTAAGAATACAAGTTCTCTAGAAAAATAGTGTAACTTAGAGCGCAAAATCATATGATATGTAATAGGGGAAATTCTATTTATTATCAATGGAAAAAATTTGGAACGATTTTCAATATTGTCAATATCAACATTAGATTGATTATTATGTATCAAGAATATTGACAAATGTTGTTTTAACTTTGAACAGATAATCAATAAAATTATATATTGTTTTTTTTTTAAGTAGCTGTAAACAAATTATTAAAAAAGCATTTAAAAAACGCCGGTTTCTTTAGAGGTCAACCAAGTTAAGACGTCAATGTCTCTGGCAAAAGATCAAAAAACGAACTACCATACCTATTTATTTCACGTCAACTTATTTCAATGCTAACCCTTCTTTTCTATTATGCAAATGATAAACGATTTTGCGCATTAATTATTGAAGTAATTTATTGTTTTCTGTTACTTTCATTAATTATGATGATTATTATTTTTTATGCATAAATAATGATAGACAATGTTAAATTCAATGACCTAATAAAACTTATTCTTCTTATTAATCTGTCAAAAATATATACAGCAATGAAACGTCAATCAATCAGCAGACAAAAGATAAGCAAATGATAATAATGAAAATAAAATACCAATAAAGATAATAACAAATAAAATTGGCAATGAAAATTTTTTGTCTCATTCTCTTTCGTATTCATCATACTCACAATGTTATTATATTTTTGGGTCAAATTCTACCAATACATTTGCCTCGAATGAGTATTTTTGTGTTCATGAATTGTCGTAGCATTTTTATCAAATATTCCATTGATTTATTTTTGAATATATGTTTTTTTAAATTACAGGTCAAAATGTATAAAGCCCGGGTAGTATTCAGTTCACTTACTCCCTTGGCACCTCGTGTTTGTGGAGGTGAAAGATTTGCTTCCTGGCTAGTTGGAAGCAATTCTCTCTCTCGTACATCACAAGTTTTTGTGGCTGTTGAGCCATCCAGAAGATATGCTAGTAAAGTAGCAACAGAACCATTCTTAAATGGAAGTACGAGTTCTTATGTCGAAGAAATGTATAATGCATGGCTCCAAGATCCACAAAGCGTGCACGTGGTATGTTATTCATCTGTATAAAGCTATTATTTTATATTAAAAAAAAAAAACTAAATGACTTTTTATTTTCATTATAGTCATGGGATGCCTTCTTTCGAAACAGTACCGCAGGAGCAGGTCCAGGACTTGCTTATCAAGCACCACCATCGTTAGCATCAAACTACAACCAAGTTCCTTTAGGATCTCTTTTGCCAGCTTTAGGAGGAAGTTCACAAGTTGGTCAAGTACCAGTTAATGAAAAAATAATTGATGATCATTTGGCAGTTCAAGCTATCATAAGATCTTATCAGGTACGTGCCGTTGATAGGAACAATAATAAAAGTTTTGTCAGTAAAAGAAAAAAAAATATAAATTGACAATAAGTTTTTTCATTTTTTTTTTTTATTATGAATTTTATTTGCATAAACTAATTGATAAATTTATCAATAAATAATCAAAGTAAATTATCCTTATTTTGATAAATTACGCAAAGATGACTCGATTAAAATAAATTATAAGAATTGAAAGGAAAAAAAACTGAGTCACTCAGCACCTCCCAGTTACAGATAATTCGTAGAAGGGAATGATAAAAATACTATCATAAATGTTAATATTATTATTTACAATAAAATGTTCTATGTTAGTGGCATGAATTATAAAGCAAAAAATTTATTAATACCGAGGGAAATTAATTGTTCGAGCTCTGCATGAAAAGCAAAGTATTTACTAGACAATTGGAGAATCATGTAATTTGTGTCACAGGTTAGGAAGATTTTGAAACACCTTGTTTCAGTAGTTTCAAGCATGATAATATAATAATAAAAAACATGTGATAAATTTAAAAGTGTTAAACTCACAAATTGCGTTCATTATCACTGTTATCATTTTTTTTATTGACTTTTATCATACTACAGCTGCTGATGATGCCAAACTAAAGAATTGACAATCATTTATACACATTGAAATGTTCATTCAATCAACCATCGATAATTGAATTATTTTTATGCATGTTTTTTGTTTCATTTGCTGTTACTATTCATTAACTTAGGAGTAAAGGTAGTTGTGAACTTAACTAGATACCATAACAAAATTTAGTCCATTTGGTTGGATAATCTAAATCAATCAGTCAACTTTATTAAATAACTCATTATGATGCGATTTATTAAATGGAATCTAGGCCCGGGGTCATTTAGTCGCCGATTTGGATCCCCTAGGTATCATGAGAAATGATGTACATACACATTATGCAGCCCGCAAGGGATCTCCAGAACTTGTACTACGACAATATATGCTTGGTAAGGTTTCATTAAAGACCACACAAACGTCTATTCGTTCATACATTATCCTCATGTAATAAGGTGAAGGCCGTTTCAATTTACAAGCTACGAGAGTTAATTTCGTTATTTTTGTTTATTTACCAATATTATTGCCTTCATATTATTATTTTGAGTTATTTTTTGGAATTAGTTATTCCAAAGTAAATAACCATTTTATTTATCCTTTGTAATTATTTTAAATTACAAAATATTTTAAATCTTTTATAATTAGCAGATTTAGAAATTATTTGGAATTTTTTCTATGATTAAATAATTGATAATATGGAATTTTTTGTTTATATTACTGTGTAGACTGGTACTGAAAATGTATATTGATAGTATTAATGATTTACGTCTAGACAAGAGAATTTTAAATTCAATTAGCACTTGAACATGTGCTTACTTAACAATCAGATCCATTAAAACTCTTTCATTCATTATTTCATTTCAAATGGTCGTCAAAAAAAAAATATGAGAATAAGTGACATTATGTAAAATTATACATCAATTTTATTCGTTTTGTTTATGAAAATGAAATATTTTCTTGAGATTTATTGTTTAAACAATCATGCATCAATCGATTATTACATTTAATCACTTGATTTATTATGTTATGGTTTGCATGTTTACAAATGCCTGTCTGAAATTTGCACGCTAAAAAGTTATTGTTGCACGTTTATCAATTATTACAATATAAATAACATTTTTATTTTTTTTACTAACCAAATGCTTTGATTAAGCTTTACTAAAATGCACTCTTGAGTATTTATATTTTTTTCATGATAATTTGATTTTGCTCCACTTGAGGGAGGTGTTAGGTGAGCTAACATGGTTTTGATTAAAGCTTGAATTAATAATAAATTGTTAACAAATCCTTATTAATAAAAAATTATAAGACATTTATGACATGTCAAAGAAAAAGGTGTCCTATAAATTTGTAAAACATTGAAAAATACCAACAATTACAATAACCATAAAAATAACAAGACATATATTATTATAAAATAGTTCCATCAACTGGCGTTTATTGATTTTTGATAAAAATTGAATAATAAAAAATGTTAATGATTAGGTTTGAAAAATATTATATAAGTCGATGTAGCAGACATGAATTTAACGTTAAATTGACAGATCCGAGGGCATCATATCGCTAAATTGGATCCACTTGGAATCAACAGCGCTGATCTTGATGATAAACATCCACAAGAATTGCTCTATAATTATTATTCGTTTGGTAAGCCAACTATTAGGTAACTTCATTATTGAAAAATCTCAAATGTAATTCAATTTTTATAGAATTAAATTAAATATTATAGTATCTTGAGATATTTTTTACATTAAAATACTATAATTATTATAAGAAAGTATCAAAATTCTCTTCTTTCAATTATTTTAAATATCGTTTATTATATTTCAGTAGTTTACATTTATAATTTCCATAATTATTCATAAAAAGACCATCATATCATATCCATTTTATAACCGTTTATAATTTCAATTACTTTATTTATTATCTCAGTATCTCAATATTATAACTTAATATTCATGTTTTGATGGAAATGAATCATTCATATTATTTAATATGATTGTAGTTAAAACATTAAGTATTTTACTAATTAATTCATGATAAGTCTATCTATTTTTTCTTCCACAGACGTTAAAGTCGTCTTGAGGTGACGTATTATATTGAACTTGACGTAAGAATCTAATTTATGTAGCAGATTAGTAAATAATCTGAGCCGAAGAAAAAAAATTATTTGATGAATCGAAAGTCTATAGATAATTACTCGTTTTTAACCGACTACAAATAATTAAATATTTTTGATTATTCTTTTAATTTATATTATAAAAATTAAAAAAAAAAAAATTGATTCTTATGATAGATTTGTAAAAAAAAGCGCGCTTACCTAAAGATTGGAGGTAAATAAAATTTTCAGTCAAAATTTAATGTCCACAGGAAAGAAATCTCGCATCACATACTCTCAGGATCTGCAATATCGAGTAGCTGCTCTAATGAAACGTATGTAGTTATACCGACCCAACTTCGAATTTTTCGATTTATTATTTGTCAATTTTATTGGGAGACTGAAATTATTGGAGATCATTAGATTTCTTTCTAGCCGTTCTATATCATGAGGTGAAAAGGCATTCAAAATATTGAATATTTTAAAATCATCAATGACTTTATTCATTTATTACAAAATGAATATAAAATATAAAAGATAGTTTACAGTATATACTATCAATCTCGGTTATTGGGATGTTTATTTCTTTCTTGCTAATATTTTTTTTTCATGAAGCCATATTACTCATTTACACACTATCTATTGTAAATTGATTTCTTTTGACACCTGCATGGATTTTGTGTTTATTCACCTACTCATTATTGTACTTCATTATTATCATGATTTTCGTCATATCATCAACAATTTTTAGGCGTTCGCATGATTACCATTTTTGTCTAAAATAAAAATTCAATTGTATTCATAAAAAGTGTTTTATTAGTTTCGTAAATTTTGAAACAAAGTAAAATATATTGCTTTTATTCATTGCAGCAATTTCAGTATCAGTTATTATTTTTCACAATAAAAATAATTCATAAAGTTATCAATTATTTAATTTTAGAAAGTATAAATAATACTTACTTTGGAAATCAAAGAATTCTATTAATGTATTAAAAATCTTTGAAAAAAATAGAGGAATCAGACATGGATCGAGTATTTAAACTTCCATCAACTACATTTATTGGAGGAAAAGAAAAATCTTTACCCCTCAGAGAAATTTTGAAGCGGCTTGAAAACACGTATTGTGGTCATATTGGCGTAGAATTCATGTTCATTAATTCTTTGGAACAATGTAACTGGATAAGACAGAAAATGGAAACTCCGGGAATTATGGAAATCAACAATGATGAAAAAAGATTAATTTTAGCTCGGCTTACTCGCGCTACTGGGTAATTATTTTTACTTGAATAAACTATAATTTTTTTTGAGCTATAAAACTTACTATAATTATATCTCCATGTTATATTTAAATAAATATTATTCTTATTCCAGTTTTGAAGCCTTTTTAGCACGTAAATGGTCATCAGAAAAACGTTTCGGACTTGAAGGTTGTGAGATTTTGATTCCAGCAATGAAGCAAGTCATTGATAAATCAACTGAGTTGGGCGTGGAATCAATTGTAATGGGAATGCCTCATCGTGGTCGCTTAAATGTTTTAGCAAATGTTTGCCGTAAACCATTGAATCAAATCTTCACTCAATTTGCTGCATTGGAAGCAGCTGATGATGTAAGTTTTCTCATTGTAAAATATAATTGATTGTTTAATTGAATAATAGTTTTCTAATAAATATGATGACTCATTCAGGGTTCTGGTGACGTTAAATATCACTTGGGAACATATATTGAGCGCTTAAATCGCGTAACGAATAAGAACATCCGTTTAGCCGTTGTCGCTAATCCATCTCATTTGGAAGCTGTTGATCCAGTTGTTCAAGGAAAAACGCGCGCCGAGCAATTTTATCGCGGGGACGGGGAAGGCAAAAAAGTAAACATATTTTTCTTCTTTTTTATTGATATAATTATTTTTTATGAGCAATTTTATTTATAATTGATTGAATAATTGTCTTCTAGGTCATGTCCATTCTTTTGCACGGTGACGCTGCTTTTTGTGGACAAGGTGTTGTTTTTGAAACCATTGGTTTATCAGATTTACCTGATTATACAACTCATGGTACCATTCATATTGTTGTTAACAACCAAATTGGATTTACAACTGACCCACGGCATTCTCGCTCTTCACCTTATTGTACTGACGTTGCTCGTGTAGTAAATGCACCTATTTTCCATGTCAACTCTGATGATCCAGAAGCTGTAATGCACGTTTGCAAAATCGCCGCTGAGTGGCGAGCAACGTTCCACAAAGACGTTGTAATTGATATTGTATGCTACCGACGCAATGGTCACAACGAAATTGATGAGCCCATGTTCACCCAACCTTTAATGTATCGTAAGATCAGAAATACTCCTCCAGGGTTAGATATTTACTCAAAAAAATTAATTGATGAAGGTGTTGTTACACCAGAAGAAGTAAAAGATGTCAAAGATAAATATGAAAAAATATGCGAAGAAGCTTATACCAATGCTCGTCAAGAAACACACATTAAATATAAAGATTGGCTTGATTCACCATGGTCTGGATTCTTTGAAGGAAAAGACCCATTAAAAGTATCTCCAACTGGAATTAAAGAAGATACTCTCACACATATTGGAAAAAAATTCTCATCACCACCTCCTAACGCAGCCGAGTTTGTCATTCATAAAGGAATTGAGCGTATCTTAAAGGCTCGAATGGAAATGGTAGAATCTCGACAAGTTGATTGGGCTCTTGGTGAAGCAATGGCATTTGGATCATTATTAAAAGATGGAATTCATGTTAGATTATCAGGCCAAGATGTAGAAAGAGGTACTTTCTCTCATAGGCATCATGTACTTCATCATCAAACTGTGGATAAAGCTACTTACCGACCTCTTTGCTTCCTTTATCCGGATCAAGCTCCTTATACAGTCTGTAACAGTTCTCTTTCAGAATTCGGAGTATTAGGATTTGAATTAGGTTACTCAATGACAAATCCCAATGCTCTAGTTTGCTGGGAAGCTCAATTTGGAGATTTTAATAATACCGCTCAATGTATCATTGACCAATTTATCAGCAGTGGTCAAGCTAAGTGGGTAAGACAATCGGGTCTTGTGATGCTTTTACCTCATGGTCTTGAAGGAATGGGTCCCGAACATTCTAGTGCCCGTCTTGAACGATTTTTACAAATGTCTGCTGATGATCCAGATTATTTCCCACCTGAAAGCGAAGAGTTCGCGGTACGACAGCTTCATGACATTAATTGGATTGTAGCTAACTGTAGTACTCCGGCTAATTATTTCCATATTCTTCGTCGCCAAATTGCTCTACCTTTCCGAAAACCTTTAATTCTTATGACACCTAAGTCATTATTACGTCACCCTGAAGCTCGATCAAGCTTTGATGAAATGACCGAAGATACTCAATTCCTTCGACTAATTCCTGAAGACGGAGCTGCTGCTAAGAATGCAAGTAATGTCAAGAGAGTACTGTTTTGTTCTGGAAAAGTATACTATGATTTGAAGAAATCTCGCGCAGAACGAGGTTTAGATGATAAAGTTGCCATATCAAGGGTTGAACAGGTAATGTAAACTTCAAAACATAGTAAACGTACTTGAATTATTTATTATGATGGTAATAATTACAATCAATTTTTCAATAGATATCACCGTTTCCCTATGATCTAGTAAAGAAAGAAGCGGCAAAATATTCAAATGCTGACTTAGTTTGGGCACAAGAAGAAGCTAAGAATCAAGGTGCCTGGACTTATGTTCAACCGAGATTTTCCACAGCTGTTAATGGAACTCGAAATCTTTCGTAAGTATTTTGTTTTATTTTATTTTCATATTATTTTTTATTAAGTTATCAGTGATCAATCTTTCAAAAATGAATTCATTAATTTTTTTAAGTTAAAAAAAAAAAAACACTTATAAATAATTTTACGATATAACTGCATACATGGCCCACGTTTTTAATCAAAGGAACAATATTTGTTAAATCAAATAATAATAACTTTATTTTTTACGTATCACAATGGATTTATTCAGTACAGCACGGTGTTGGTATCAAATTTATAATTCATTAATTTGATTTGCTTCTATTACTGCAGTTTTGTTTTCTCTTATTTCTTCTAAAGAAATTCTTTAAAATAATATAAAAAATGTTGGGCCATGTTGCAGTAGCAGAATTTCGGGAGAAAATAGTGGTGGTTGGTTGAGTAGTTTATTTTCCTCATCCAAGTCATCAAACAAATCAGAAACTGTGAATGAAACACAATCAGAACAATCGACAGAATCAAAACGAACATTGAGGTGAGATTGGACATTAACTTAAAAAAAAAAATACGAATCAATGGATAAATGTGAAATATGTAAATTGAATACATAATATGAGAATGAATTATTAAATAAAAGAAATTCAATATCTATTTTCAGATACGCTGGTCGTCCAACAGCTGCATCACCAGCCACTGGTAGTAAACCACAACACCTCAAAGAACTTAAACAGTTCCTAGACGATAGTTTTAATAATTTGTAAGACATTTTATTATATAGAAACATAATTTTATTTATTTTTGTCCTTTAAATTTTTTTATCGATCATCCGCAGTAGAATCATATATTACGTTCATAGAAATTAATTTTGAGACTGTAACATTCAGCTGTTTAAAGCTCGTTTTATCCATTTTTAGGATGAAAATTTGATTAACACTATCAAATAAATTATTTCATCTTTTTTAGTAAATTTTAAACTAATAGATACATAATTCATGTTTTCTTCATATAACAAATTTACTCAATTGTATTTAGTATTAACAAAAGAACACGGATGATCGACAGAATTTAGTTTGTCAATGAATGACAAAAATGGAAGATTGAATGGTAGGAAGTTATGTATATTCCAACGTCACTAAGTGACTTATTTATGTGTGGGTACTCGATTGAATGAGTTCGTGCTACGTGATGCCTTGTAAAAATTAAAATAAATAATAATGTACTGAAATGATTATCTCATACTTAAATAATTCTTAGGAAATTTCATCAAAACAAATATGGATAAAGTTATTAAATTCATTCAAAGAAATATACGTAAATTTTTGGTAGTTAATTTTATTTTATAAAAAAATTCATCAGTTAATTTATAATATTTTGTGTATTTTGAACACATATTCAATTCATTTTACTGATGCTAAATTTAAAAGTCCCTTAGATCAAATGAAAAATAAAAATGAGGAAACGGTTTATGAATGTATGGAATTTTTTGAAAGTAATATTTTACCTTGAAGAAGAGAAAAAGTTCAACTGAAATTGAATATAACAGGAATTGTAGATGAATTATGGTATTATTTAAAAGTCTATAGTAGACTGATATTATTTACTCTTAACAATTATAACATTTAAAAAATTTCAGTATTTATTCTTTTAATCCTGTGTATTATCTTTTAATTATAAAACATCAAGATCGAACCATGTTGAGATCCAAAACAAAAATAACTAGCTCAATTTTTAATAAAGAACTAGTGTAACTAAAATATTTAGATGAACATGGTTCGACAAAATGGAACTGTTTAAGGATCTTACAATGGTGCACATAGTTTTAAAATAATAAAATAATTTTAATAATAAAAAAATAACTATGTTGAATTTTTCGGCCAGAGGCAATAAAGTTTCAGCATATGTAACACTGTTAAGTAATTAAATTATACATAAACAAATTGGTATACGAAGTATTTTTTATTCTCTCTTAATTTCATTTTAGTTTAAAATAAATTCCTAATAACTACTACTGTGAATCACCGTTTAACGTTATATTATGGAAACACTGAATAATTTTAACTCAATTTTTCATCAAAAATATTTATTTGATAAATAGTATATTTTAGCATTAATTCTATAGATTTTTAATAATTTATGCAAATAAACCTTATTATTGCATATTACAATTAAGTAAATATATTTAATTTTCATAAAATAATATTTATAAGATCAATGAATTATTTAATAATCCGTTGTTCCAAGCACGCTGTACATAATCCTTTTGAAGCTGTTGCTTTGATGAATTTTTTCTCCATCTTCATCATAACCACTAGCCTGAGAATTAAAATAATAAGAGTTACAAATATTATTATTTTTATTTAATAATAATAATAATCAATTTTAATCACTCATAAAACTAGAGGACGTATTTTTTAATAATTTGTCATGTATAATGCAATAATGAACGTACAATTGATGGTAAAATTTAGTAGCTGTTGACACGATCCTTTATGAAAGGAAGAGGAAAGGGACGATACATTCCACCCTTAATCAGACAAATATTAAAAAATTAATGATCCATGCTTGAGAAAAATTTCTTGTTATTCATTTATCTTATTTTATAGAAATTAAATATTAATATCGTCTTAAGGAATATTCTTTATTACATATTTTATCTGTTTTTCAATTACGTAACGGATAAAGAAATAGACACAGTAGATCAACAGAGATTCGGTCAGACATGATGCAGTGAGATGTACTTTTTTGTCAAATAGGAGAAATTACTTACGTAGGACGAGGCTGGACTTTTTGATGGAGCATAGTGAACCTGCGATTAATTAAAACAATATTAATAATATAATGTATATAACATACGAGTACTTGAAAATTTTTAATTTTAAGGATTGAATCATTTTACTTTACTAAAAAATTCTTAATGATATAATCCATGTATCTAGATGTCAGCAAAATTAATATTAATTAATCAAAATAATGATCTTACTCTATTATGATGAGCCTTTTGAGGTGCAAAAACACCAGCACGTGTTGGCTGGTTGACTTCATGTACTTCATCCATTTCCTCTTCTTGAAGAGCTTTGTAGGCCTCACTTTTGCTTGGATCATACTTCATCGGCTTCTTTGCACTATATATAATTTGTACACGAAATCTTAACTCGCGTTTCAACGAAATAATGTACAGATAAATTTAACTTATAATATCTTTTTTAAAAATCTAAATACAAAGCTCACGAGCACATTCTCGTGCAAATAATCACTATTATGAGACTAAATTTCTAACTAATAACAAAACAATCGAGCAATAAGCAATACACGCACTTTGATTATTTGTTAGTAAAATAAATTTTTCAAAAATATAATTTAAATTTTGATATCGTTAAAAATTAATAATTACTGTCAATATAACACATGCAACAAGAGATCAAATCTTTGGCTTTTATTTATTTTAAAACTCTAATACGACTTGTTTGAAATAAAAAAAAAATTTTAACTATACGCGATTGATATGAGAATAATTAAAGTAGAATAAATGATCATTGAAGACTATTCGGAATTGGATTATAGAATTTTAACGAACATATTTATCAATAAATGATCACATGAGGATGAATGTATGTAAAAAAAAAATAATTAATTTTTTGGCCTATTAAATTGTGGCCATGGGTTTTGTGTAGCTTCTTCCCGGGCCTTTTCTTTCATTAATCTCGCCTGTTCCTCAATATCTCGCTTTTGTTTCACAAAGGAAAAGTCGATAAAAATGCTGGAAAAGCAAACAATACATAAACATATTTTTGACAATTTACGAAAGCAGCACAAAACGTGGAGAGCGAATCTATCGATCCATTATACGCATATAAAATTTTTTATCTTATCATGATCGTTATTGTTTGTTATTACAATAATTCTATTTGATGTTATATTTTTTTTAGTTTAATGCATTATTAAGTATTAATTTTCAAACGTATTAATAGAAAATTAATGAAAAACTTGATTTTTATATATACATCTTCATTAATATATGTATGCTTCATCGCAAGCTCCACGACATTCAGCAGCTTTCCTCAATTATTTTTTAAAAAAAATATTAGATTGTTAAAAGCTATAGATTAAGAGAAAATAAATTTAAATATTTTATTATCATGTTGAAGTGTTTTATTATATATTTACTTACGGAATGGCCGACGTTTGACACTTTATTGTGTCTGCAATATTTTGATCTGAGTAGAGTCCAATTGGTGAATTGAATTGTTTATGGACAACCTGTTAAGATAAATAATCATTCATACATAACGAAAAAGGGAAATAAATAAAAGCTAGAAATTACTTGATTTCTTTTGAAATGGGATGATTAAAAATAGATGAATATATATAGCACTTGAAATTCGTAAAACATCATGATGATAATTTAAAGGTTTCTTATTTATTATTGTTGTATGATATAATTGATGAAAGAGACTTAATTTAATTGTAATTGAAGATTTATTAGTAATTTTATTTATAAGTCAATCAAAACACACATCAGCGGCGATATTTAGTTTTTACAATTTAATTTATCTGTATATTCAAAAAAATTTATAAACAATGTGATATTATTTTAGCTGAAATAAAATTAAAATAATGGAAAATTATTCACTTCCTTCTAAAAAAAATCTGTCAAATATTTAATATTAAATGCAACAAAGGCGAAGCAGTAATGATATCTCTATTAATGATATAATTGAAATAAAATATTTAAATTGATGGATATTTACTATCGATGATGAATTGCTAAAATAAAGATTAAAGAGTATATGATGTTTCTAAGCACCAAAAGCTATTTAGATAAATAATATCAAACCTTTGGAACTTCATTCGGTCCCAAGACACGCTGCAATACCGATTCTGCCACCTGTTTTCAATATATTTAAAAAGACACGCGTTTTAAAATGAATGTTGAGTGAATAATTATGATTATTATTACGATAAAATAAATCAAAAAAATATATATTCAATATTTTAGCAAAAATAATTTTCAATCTGACGATTCGTGAATTTTTTTTCGATCAAATTATGATTTTATGCTGATTTTCCACCTCGAGCCTTCAGTTCAACAGTAAATTCTGCATAGTATTGAACCTGGCGGCTGTATCTACCTACTTTTTGTTTCATCGCCACCTCAGGATGTGCCACTTCATAGTGATGAGGGGCAGCTCTGATCATTGGATTTGGATGATGGCGTAGATAACATTCACCTAATGGTGCATCCTTTTTAATCTTTGCTCCTGGCAAGACTAATGGAGTTGTACGATAGGGCTGAAAAAGAAATTATTCAACTTGAATAAAATTATAATTGTCAATAATTATTACATGAGAAAGGTTTATAAATATTTTCAATGCTTAAATTTTTTCATATTCATACAATTCCTGAAAATGCGGGGATTAAGGTCACTTGTTTTAAATTTCGAAATTCCAACACGTACTCTCTTTTTCTCTCTCTCTAATTCAGGTGGCTACGCGCCAAAAAGCACATTATTTGTGAACAAATAAAATACTTATATTTTTATTATTATTTTCAATTGCTATTGAATTATTTTATTGTCAAGTAAATTAAATAAATAAAAAAAAAAATAGACTTATTTACAATGTTTAATTGAAAAACATGTGTACTCCAATGTTGTGATTTTTATTTTAATTAATAATTTTATGTCTCTTAATGGATAATAATATGGAATAAATATTTGTAAATAAAATAAATAACTAGTATTTAAAAAAAATATGTAATATAATGAATTTCCTTTGTAAACACTAATTTACGGATGAAGGAAAGTTACACCTACGCATCTATTTACAAAAATAAAACTCGTTGACAGCCGGATGTATACGAAAAAAATTCCGACACCGAGTTTATAACGCCTCCTTATTAATTTAATGAAATGATTTTAATTTTTTAAATATAGTTCAAAAAAAAAAAACTCATCATAAAATTCTTAAACTTGTATTCCATAAACTCAGTGAATTTCGGAAAGAAATTCGATCTGTTTTGGCAGACGTTAGATTATAATCAAAACGTCGTTTCAGCTCATACAATAAAAGGAATTGCATAAATGTTAAGGTGCAATGCTGCAGATTATAAAAGCTTGGCAGGAATACACGTCGTTATGTCACACACAATGATGACGAAATGGTCCTGGTAACATTAATTTCAGCTTTTCTTATTGCTGCATTTGTTTTTTATAAACTTGAAATGTTCTACAATATTTATGTACTGTCAAGCATTTAAGCACTATTTAATTCCACATGGTCTTTATATTTTTTCGCAATAATTCTGTTAAACAATCATCTCGAAAAAAATATTTAAGCTTGTAAACAATATAAAAAAATTTGTAAATACTATTATTATGATATTGTTCTTATTATAGATGAGCTGTGTTGAGAGATATGTTCTAAAAAAAAAAGTTGTCAATAACTCGAAACAACTACGAATCCAGAATAAAGCTTTGAATATATTCATAATGTAATTCATACAACTAGAAGCACTTGAATTTTTTTTTATATAATTTAAGAAGATTCATTTAACATCATACCATCTAATTAATCTGATGTAAAATAAAGATTATGTTAATAATAAATTGATTAATGGTAGTGTTGTTTTATTTAATGATTCCAAGTAATTCCAAATTTATATTTTTTATAACAAGTGGGTCAAAAAGATAATAACAAATTAAAATATATGAGCAAAGACGATATGCCAAAAATAGCCGAAGGTTTTGAGCTGGCAAAAATAATCTGTCGTTTACGTTGCCACATCATGATCTCTATTTAATTTTTTATTTTGTCCCCGATATGTAACCTTCTAGCATATAGTCATTCAACTTCTACTAGGGTGTTGTCATGTCAATATCCTCAAAAATATTTGAATACAATTTATCAGGAATTTTAGTGAATCCTTGGTAGTGTTTGAGACAAATTTGATAATAGCATCATTGCTAAAAATAATATTTAATCATGAATGATCTAAATTGATCCAAAGTTAGTAAAAAGTTTATGACTTAGAGTGGATAATTTTTTCTTTCATCTTCTACCAATCTGTATCATAGTCCATTTGCTCGTTGTGAGGTCATCGTGCTCCTTCTATTCTGGTTTTACTGAGATGTCAAAATGATTTTTCTTTCAAGGACAAACAATAAACTGAGAATCTTTCGGTAGAAAATTACTTTTGTGCTTCCGGATAATATGTCAAGGTTCGCTGGCGTAATCCAGTTATAATTATATCATTCTCCCATTACATCACTTATGATCTTGACTTTCATCTGATTATTAAAATTACCGCCAACTCATTCATTAATCTACACTTCCCATCTAATCTTTAATTCATTCATCATTTTAATCATTAACATTAACACTCATGATTGATCATGAAACATCTGGAGAAGTATCCACAATCATCATGAAAGAAATCCATCAATTAGGCAAAATGAATTTGGAATATTTAAAATCCTTTGAGAATATAGAATTCAAAATTGATAACTACATAGAATGTTAAACATCTGATTGACAGCTTGGCAACAAAAAGTCATCTGTTAATTCACCGGCCATTAAAATCAGTCTGGTTGGATTTTAGTAATCAATATTTGTCAGATATTTAATACTTAATCGTAATCTATTGCACATTCATTGAAAATAAAAACATCTACCATTAAATTCACTGTGATGATATTTTTATTTTTCAATCATACCCAGTAAATTGCAGCTTCTTCATCTTTTGGTTGACGTTCAATTGTGTATCGATAAGTCGTCGTATAACCCGGCATGTTGCCACTACTTTAATATTATAAAAGATTTAATTAATTTAATATCGTTTAGTTCAACAAAATTATTCAGACACAGTTATTGAAATAAGCCTAGAAAATATTCAACTGGACTCCACAATGATTTGGATTTCTGAAATATAAACGCACTGGTTCGAAGCGCGGGAGGCACTAACTCTGGCGTTTTCCAAGTATCTTACAAACCTCTGCCTTACTCATACGATGCATGGCTTGTGTGTATCTTGACTCTTGTCAAGATTTTGAAACTCCTACGTTCTTTTCAGGGTTATTAAGATACTTAAATATCAAACTGATGATGGACATCTTAAAAAATATTCTTCTTTCTTTTGTATTATGAAGCTTGACAAGAATATTTTCACGTATTTTTGTATCAACAATTAATTGGAAGAGTTTAGAATACACTTTTCTTCATTGCCATCAGCATTGACATAATACATTATTTCATGAAATTCCTTGTTAAGCTAGAATTCGTTGATCGATGAGAGTAATTGCATGTGCACTGGTGATTGTTTCAGTGCTAAGATAAGAAATGAGGACACAAGTGAAAGTTTAGATAGAAATTGGATGAGTAAGTATCGAGATTGGTAAACGAACGGTGGTTCCGATGCAAAAGTGATATTTATAGATCAACTCTCCGCGGATTTTCAGACATCGAAAGGCGGGCCAACGAAAATATATTCTCACTCGTGTCTACGTTAGCTGAAGTTATCTCATTTGTACATTGACTGTTTCATTTTTCCAACATTTATTTGTTTTCAGGGTTGTAGTATTTTTTTCCGTCATCACAGTATATTTCTAAATATCCGCATTTATCTATATATACATTTTCAATAGTTAAAAAATAATAATGTATTCATTTTTCATCAGTCAACAAAATGAATAAAAAATCTTTTAAACAACATGAATGATTCAACAAACATTTTTATGAGTACTTGAAAAGTGCTAGAATGAAAATATCGATCGACAGCTGTTAGAATTTGATCCACACACGTACTTTTACACCGGCCATTCTTTTCGCTCAGCAAATCAACTCGTCTACGAACACACCGTGTCATATCAGCCAAAATAGCCGTCGTTTGTACTCTAAACTTAGAGACAAGGCAGCTGTGCTTGTTCATGCTTGCATCATTTCAATAGATTCTTAAACTTTCCATCAGTTGAGTTAATATTTTCTTATTAATTCCATTCATTTCTTCAGCACTTTTATCATGAATTTTTTTATTTAAAATTAACTGAAATTGTTGAAAAATACTTAAAATCATTTAAATAGAGACAAAGGTGTCTAAGAGATAAATTGAAACTTATTCTTGGATACTTTCCATCGACTCGACCGAGTTTATCCACACAATCACATAAGAAAGTTATGTACTGTTACGTCTACATAATGATGATCATTATTTATGTATTTCTCTAAATGAGCTCTGAATTATTTAACTATATAATATTTACCTGAGATAAATAAAATCTTTCTTCTTGAACTTCTTCAATATGTTCTTTGGGTGGATCAAAATGATTCGGTGAAAAGGCTTTATATTCACGAGGTGACATCAATGGTGGAACTGGACTTTTTGGTAGAACTTTGGGCTGTGTTTCTTTGGGCCTATTTAGTAAATAATTATGTTAGGAAGAGAATTGATTTAAAATAATAATAAATATAGAGAGAATTTAAGCTCAATCTGTGGAAACCCTTTCTTACATAAAATATTTTTTTTAAATTTAATTATTAATAGAAAGGTATGCGTTATTTTTTTAACAAGAAAAAATCTTCATAATATTTAATTAACTAAGAGTTTCCAGCAGATATTTATTTAGTCGTGGTTATTCCCCCTGGCGAGCATCGTTCGATCAAGCATTCGCGATGAGGCATACAAGCATTACTTGATAATAGTTTTGTCAATTTTAAAAGAGTCTTGAAAGTAATTAGCAATGCAGCTGTTAAGAGCAATAAAAAAATAAAATCAATTGTAGAAAGAGTGAAGTGAATGTTTGTTCTGACAAATTAAAGTATGCAGCCCCGTCGTTTGAGTAGATCGACTCGACAATCGATGACTGTGAAGTGTATCGATTGCATGACAGATGATTTGTCAACAGCTCAGACCTTTCCACGACTAGTCTTACAGACTCTGAGTTTTGAAGTAAATTCTGGGCGTCCACGTGCCTCAAATCACGAGCATCATAGTCATCTATTTTCTTGATCACGTCACCCTTTCGGAGATCATCATTCTCAGACTATAACAAACAAATATAATACATCATTAATATACAGAAAAAAAAAACTTAAAACATTTTAACGTTTTCTAACATCGTATTCAATGTTATTTGAATATTTTAATATTTTCATTGAATTTCTCACAATTTCTCTATCTTACATTTCAAAATATAACGTACCTATAAAATATTATAATAAATTTTCACATTTTAATCCACTAAAATTAGTCGTAAACAATATTGAGTTATTGTCAGATCCAACTTGGCCATTGAGTGATGAAATTATTTCTATGTGATTTTTATTTTGCCAAGTAATTTATTTTTATTATTTGTATAAATTATTGAGTTTCAAGCTTTTTACTAAAGAATTTATATACAAATTTTTGTCTCATTGATTCATTGAAGGTCTAATGATAAATTACCATAAACCCAGCAATTCAGATAGATACAATAAAATCACTTGTCAATAAAATGATTGTAAACATTTCATAATTATACCAAAAAAAAAAACTTTTTATTTACAATTTTATAAAATAAAATCACTCACACGGGTGACGACAATCGGTGTATTTAAATCAGCACCCCCAGCAATGCGAATGCCCCAAGGGCGGTTTGGGTATCTTCGCAAGTTTAATACTAACGTTTGTTTCTTCGTCATACTCTGAGCTCAACAGTTGTCAGCTTCTTTTTGTAGTCAGTTTTAAGAGGAAAGAACCACACGAATGTGAAAACAGATAAAAAACAGGAAAACACAAAGTGAACACAAATAGGAGAGATAAACAAATGACGACGCTTGCGTGGGATAAACTTAAAATGTAGTTTCAGAATATGGTAGCGGGGGGATTCACAGAGTTCGGTATACTGTCAACTGTACTAAAGAACTGCGGTAACGAATTGCACTTTGACAGGCAAATGCATATCTTCAGTAGATTGCCAGTGGCCCTGAAGTTACCCAATAAGCGCCGGCATAACTCGACTCAGTTTCTGCCCAATCTGGCCTCATTTTCTATTGGCATACGTTGCAAGCATCAATATAAGCTCGCTTTTCAATCTGCTACTTGCCCCTTATTTCTATGGTATTTATAATGTCTACAATCATTGAAACAAATCATTATCGTGACTATTAACTCTCAGGGATTTAACAGTCACTAGTCATATTATTTTTAAGGGTACTTCACTCACAAGACACGAGACTGAATACTGACAATACCGCCAATGTATTTAAATTTTGATTGTTTCCGCGCCGCGAGATCGCGGGATTTTTGAACATACATCATTTTGCTATTGTGTTCAAATTTGTATAATTTGTAAATACTCTGTTATCAAGGTTATCTACATAAATGTCTAGCACTGAAAACAAAAATGCATTTTATATATTAATTAAAATATTTCACTTCACAAATATCTTATTATTGTCATTTATTAATCATTATTTACTTCACTAAAAATTTCAACACTTCACTGGTGACTTAAAAATACTCACATAGGTCTCATAATAATTTCCAATGGAAAATTTTAGAGCCATATTTTTGTCCTCCTCCTTATTCTCTTTTATAATTATTTAATTATCTTCTTTTCAGTTAATTGAATCAATATTCTATCCCAGATATTTATAAAATATTAAATTTTAGCCTCATTAAATTACTATGAAGAGCCAGTGGATCACACAGCTTTTTCTTCCTGCCGACGATCTAATTAGTTTGATGATCACTCGATTAATGAGTTTAAATTAAAAGAATGAGAAGTAACTAAAATAGAGATAGTAAGTGTAAAGGAAATAGGGGTGTTTGCGTTTCGAGACTCAAATTAGCAACCTATAGCGCTAAAGGTTAATCAGTTGTAGACTAGAGATTACTCGTGTTCTAGTGACTCATTTATCTCAATATATTAGTTGTTAGAAAATTTAGTTAATGACATATCTAATGACTTCACCGGAGACTGACCCTAATGATCTTGCATACTTTCAAGGCTGCATTACGACCCTGTCATGTGAATAAATTTTCTAGATCGATGAGGTGTGATTACATTTATAGATCGAATTTAATGTATCTGTTGACAAATCAATGAGTAGTAACTACTATTTATTTAGAATACGAATTTTCAACATAATGTTTAGGAATATAGCTTATTAAAAATAATTATACTCATATAAAAACATACATTATTTATGAATATTCTTCACTGATTGCTCGACTTATTACCATTCGTCGTATTTCACTCGTTCCAGCTCCAATTTCATATAATTTTGCATCTCTTAAGTAACGACCGGTAGGATAATCATTAATGTACCCATTTCCACCTGTTCAATTATTCATAATAATGTAGAATATTCACACCAATATTTATAAATACCTGGAAATTTTTTTATAAATAGAATGCTCCAAAATAGGCTTACCAAGTATCTGTATAGCATCTAAAGCTGCTTTAGTAGCATTTTCTGCACAATATAATATAACTGCAGCACAATCTTTACGGTTCACGTGTCCAGCATCACAAGCCCTTGCTACAGAATACAAGTAACTCCTACTCACACTCAAACTCGTATACATGTCAGCAATTTTCGATTGAATCATTTGAAATTCAGCAATTCTTTTATTGAATTGTTTTCGTGTGTGAGCGTATTCGAAAGAAATATCACAACAAGCCTGAAGAATTCTGAAAGTGACAAAAATATCACTACAATTTTCTATGTAACCATATTTTACTTATGAATTAAAACTTTATTACCCTAATGGTCCGGCAGCTAAAACGAGTCTCTCCAAATCAAGCCCACTGAATAATACATAAACTCCTTTATTTAATTCTCCTAGCATATTTTCAGCTATGGATATTTCGAATGTAACATATAAAAAAATGTTAATACAATGACAATATTAATTTTAATTGAGTAAAGATTAAAGTAAAATATTTACCAGGAACTTTGCAATCTTCAAAAATAAGTTCTCCTGTATTGGAGCCACGCATACCAAGTTTATCTAATTTTTTACCAGCACGAAAACCTTCCATTCCTTTTTCAATAATAAATGCAGTTATTCCATGCTGAGGCTTGGATGCATTAAGATCAGTTTTTGCATAAACAACGAGAATATCAGCATCTGGTCCATTAGTAATCCAAAATTTATTTCCATTTAAAATGAAGTAATCTCCGGCCTTTTCAGCCTTGAGTTTCATAGAAATGACATCAGATCCTGAACTAGGTTCAGACATTGCTAATGCTCCAACGTGTTCACCATTGCAAAGCTAGTATAAAATAGAAATTTTTTGATAGTTATAATTTTTTATGTTTTATCATCATTGTAAATTTATTACTTTTGGCAAATATTTAAGTTTCTGTTTTTCTGTTCCATTTCTATGTATCTGGTTAAGACATAAATTCGAGTGGGCGCCATATGTTATAGCTACAGATCCGGAAGCTCTACTAAGTTCTTCCATTACGATTATATGATCCAAATAACTACCACCTGTACCTCCATACTCCGTTTTGGCAGTGATTCCAAGAAGACCTAAATTACCTAATTGTCTCCAGAATGTCTGAAACACACAAAAAGAAATAAAATAGTGTAAAAAATACTTCTTTTAGTGTCTCTTCAATCAAACTGCTATACCGATCGTTAAGAAAGATTAGATTTTAAATCAAATATATATAATGTTAATTATTTAAATAAGTTCATTATTTAATGCTTACCCTGAGATCATCAAAGTCATTTTTTCTGTCAATTTCAGCTGCTTTCGGAGCTATTTCTTTTTGAAAAAAGTTAAACACCGAACTCCTTAGCTGAAAATTATTATTACAATCATTTAAATCATATTGATTATGGAGAATTATTTATTTATTATATTTTTAAAAATGTATCTTATAATAAATGTACTTCTCTTTGTTGTTCATTCAGTCCAAAAATATTTTCATCAACGGGATAAAACTGAGAAAGACATCTATTTAAATATTTTGTATTAACTTTTATAGAACTAATATATTTAAAATTTTTTAAACTTAAAAAAAAACTCATATTTAATATCTATTTCGATACAACACAATTGGGTTTAAATAATGTCAAAAAATAATTAAACTTCTAAAAATAAAAAACATATTTTATTTCTTCATACATACATAATACAAATGAATTATTTATATACATCTTTTACTGTGATTATTTTATCGTCGAGTCAAAGTTCATGATAACAACCTGTTGTTATCAATATTTATACGGGGATCTTGCATTTCTTTTTCTCAAACAGAGAAAAAAGATAATTTATACATACTATATATTATTTCTCTTCTCTGACTCAAACAAATATGGAGTTGAGGGCGCCACTGATGCAAAAATTGTACACAGAGAAGACTGAGAGTGTTTTTGAAGTGCAGAGAGAAGACTCTTAATCTATAGATATAATTAATAATGCAGAGAGAAGAGTCTTAATATTACCGAAATTAAAGAATTATTAGTGTTTTGTGTATGTATAACGCTTCAGTTTATTTATTTAATCACTTTGTTTTTGAACGCATTCAAAATATAAATAACCATAACATGCGCTAAAAGTTCAAAATGAACATTTGATTACCGCGCTTTTGTTGCGAGCATTGATTGGTTAATATTTTTTTGCAGAGGGGAAATTGACTATGGCGATCGAAAGTTTGCTTCGTGTATTGCAGAAAATCACAAACAGTTGTGTTTCCACATGATTTCTCGTTTTTATTTTTAGGTTAGATTAAAAATTTTTAGTTTTTTTTGTATAATTACGTGTAAAAATGGGTGAAATCAAAGTAAAAAGTATAGATAGTCTAAAAGAAGGCAAATACAATAAAGTTATAGCACACATTGAGGTATACATTAGACCGGCTAGGTTAACTTTTGCATTTTATCAAAATATCACCAATGAAGACATAAAATCATTACTAATAATATATTTTGTTACAGAATAAATGGAAACTTGTTCCGGCATTTTTGAAAGGAAAAGGTTTAGTTAAACAACACATTGATTCATTCAATTATTTCATCAATGTTGAGATAAAAAAAATAGTTCAAGCCAACCAGACTATTTATAGTGACGCCGATCCTTTATTTTACCTCAAGTAAGACTAATAAAACGATACCATTATTTCATGATTAAAAGTTCATTATTATTCATTTTGATTAATTTTTATTTTAGATATTTAAATGTATACGTTGGATCTCCAGATGTAGAGGAAGGTTCCCACGTAACTCGATCGACAACTCCTCATGAATGTCGATTGCGAGATTTAAATTACTCTGCTCCAATTACTGTAGATGTAGAATACACGAGAGGTGATCAAAAAATTATAAAAAATAATGTAATTATTGGAAGGTAAGTTCATATTGAAATTTTAATTAACATAAGTTTTATTATTAGTTACAAACATTGTAAATATGTTTCAGAATGCCTATAATGTTAAGGAGTTCCAACTGTGTTTTAACAGATAAATCTCATTTTGAACTGGCCAAAATGAATGAGTGTCCACACGACCCTGGCGGTTATTTTATTATTAATGGGCAAGAGAAAGTAATTTTAATTCAAGAGCAGATGATCCGAAATCGAATAATTCTTGAAAAAGACAATAAAAGTTACGTAGTTGCTTCATGTAACAGTTCAACACATGAGAGAAAAACAAAAACTAATATAATTGGCAAGGGTGGAAAATATTATTTGAGACACAATATCTTTCAAGATGACATTCCAATTTCTTTGATATTTAAAGCAATGGGAATTGTTTCTGATCAAGAGATTATGCAACTTATTGGTACAGACGAAGAATACATGAGAAAATTTGCCTCGAGCATAGAAGAATGCCACGCATTGAAGATATTTTCTCAAAATCAAGCTCTAAAATATCTTGGAAATAAGATAAAACAAAAAAGATATGCTTCAGCTGTTAAGAGAAATGTAATCGATGAAGTCAAAGATATGTTGGCACAAAATATTTTATCACATGTCCCTGTAGTTGATTTTAATTTTAAAATGAAAGCGACTTACTTAGCAGTAATGATTCGAAGAGTAATGAGAGCACAATGTGATGAATCTTTGCTTGATGATCGAGACTATTATGGTAATAAAAGATTAGAATTGGCTGGTTCACTTCTATCATTAATGTTTGAAGATTTATTTAAACGATTTAATTCAGAACTAAAACAAATTGCTGATAAAAATATTCCAAAAATCATGGCATCTCAATTTGATATTGGAAAACATTTGAGACACGATTTAATCATGAATGGTTTAGCATTCGCAATTTCCTCCGGAAATTGGACTATAAAACGTTTCAAAATGGAACGTCATGGTGTTACACAAATTCTATCACGATTATCATATATTTCAGCACTAGGAATGATGACACGAGTCAACTCTCAATTTGAAAAAACCCGAAAAGTATCTGGTCCTCGATCATTACAACCATCACAATGGGGTATGCTATGTCCGAGTGATACTCCAGAAGGAGAATCTTGTGGTTTAGTAAAGAATCTTGCACTCATGACCCATATCACGACTGAAATCGAAGAAGAATCAATCATTCGTTTTGTATTCAACCTTGGTGTTGAAAGTATAAATATTCTTGGGGGTGAAGAAATTAATCATAAAGACGTTTACATGGTCTTCCTTAACGGAAATATCCTTGGAATAATAAAAGACTACAATAGACTTGTAAATATATTTCGAATGCTACGAAGAAAAGGACTTGTAAATGCTTTTGTTTCCATCTATTTACAACATAAACATAAGTGTGTTCAAATAAGCTCGGACGGCGGAAGACTGTGTCGGCCTTATATTATTGTAAAAAATGGTGAACCACTAGTAAAAGAAGAGCACATACAAATTCTAGAGCAAGGAATCAAAAGTTTTGAAGATTTTCTGCAAGAGGGTTTAGTAGAATATCTTGACGTCAATGAAGAAAATGATTGTTATATAGCATTCAACGAATCACATATAAATTATGATACAACACATTTAGAAATAGAACCTTTTACGTTACTTGGAGTTTGTGCTGGTCTTGTTCCTTATCCTCATCACAATCAAAGTCCTCGAAATACGTATCAATGTGCTATGGGTAAACAAGCAATGGGAACTATTGGCTATAACCAACGTAATCGAATAGATTCGTTGATGTACAATTTAGTATATCCTCAAGCACCAATGGTCAAATCTCGGACTATTGAATTGATTAATTTTGACAAACTTCCTGCTGGACAGAATGCAATTGTCGCGGTGATGTCTTATAGTGGTTACGATATTGAAGATGCATTAATATTAAATAAAGCATCAATTGACAGAGGTTATGGTAGATGTTTAGTGTATAGAAATGTTAAAACAACACTCAAAAAATATACGAACCAAACGTCTGATATAATACTGGGTCCGTTGATTGATAATAACACCAAAAAACCTATGTGGAAGCATGATATTATTGACTCTGACGGCATTGCTGCACCCGGAGAAATGGTGGAAAATAAAAAAATTATGATAAACAAATCCGTGCCAGCAGTAACTATTAGCCCTGTTAATACACAACATGCTCAAAATCCACCTGATTATCGCGAAGCACCAGTACTTTTTAAAGGCCCAGTACCTGCATATGTTGAAAAAGTAATGGTATCTACAAATGCTGAAGAATCGTATTTGATCAAATTGTTATTGAGGCAAACTAGAAGACCAGAAATTGGTGATAAATTTAGTAGTAGACATGGACAAAAAGGTGTAACAGGTTTGATTGTTGAACAAGAAGACATGCCTTTCAACGATTCAGGAATATGTCCAGATATGATCATGAATCCTCATGGCTTTCCATCTCGAATGACAGTTGGCAAATTAATTGAACTTCTAGCTGGAAAAGCTGGAGTATTAAAAGGTGAATTTCATTATGGAACGGCATTTGGTGGTTCTAAAGTCTCAGATATATGTGAAGAATTAGCCAAGAATGGATACAACTATCTTGGCAAAGACATGTTTTATTCAGGAATAACTGGTGAACCATTACAAGCATATATATATTCAGGACCAGTTTATTATCAAAAGCTAAAACACATGGTACAAGATAAAATGCATGCAAGAGCACGAGGTCCAAGAGCTGTATTAACTCGACAGCCAACAGAAGGAAGATCTAAGGATGGAGGTTTAAGATTAGGTGAAATGGAGAGAGATTGTTTAATTGGTTACGGTGCAAGTATGATGCTAGTGGAAAGGTTAATGATTTCTAGTGATGCTTTTGATGTTGATATTTGTAATAAGTGTGGACTAATGGCATATAATGGATGGTGTCATAGCTGCAGATCAAGTGGATGTGTCTCAACGATATCAATGCCTTATGCTTGCAAACTTTTATTTCAAGAACTTCAATCTATGAACATTGTTCCACGATTAACTCTTAAAAATTACTGCGATTAATGGTAATTAGCATTTATTATAAGTTGTAAATAATTTTTTATTTAATAAAAGTATTTATAAAATATTTCTTCTATGAATAATTCATTTTTGTATAAAAATATTTTGACAAAATTTCACCTGTTAATATTTCAGTTTTATGATAATTATAGAATATAAATATTTAATTTTCATTTTATATCATCATATTTACATTGCTAGATAATTTTAGTTTTTTATTTGGTATTTTTTTTTAAATAAAAATAATATACTTTATATATATTTTACTTTGAATACGAAATTAATAGTTTAAATTTTTCCCGCCAAATAATGGCAGGTATGCTTTTGTTTTTTTCTCCTTGTTATTGGCAACATTGCCAGCCGGCCAAAAGAGAAATTTTAGAGTAATGTCGAATAAGTGTCGGTGTCGTATAAAAACAATTAAGTTTTCCTTGTGCTTCCTCGAATGATGGTTAAATAATGTAATACTAAGTTATTAAAAAAGGAGATTTTACTTTTTATTTATATAACAAAAAAAAAATAATTTATTAAAAATAATTTTATATCGCGACGCAAAAAGTTTTGATTAGAATTTAAGTCTGTAGTATATACTAGAGGTGACGTCTGAAATCGAAGGACCAAGCTTACATTTTCTAGAGGATGAGTTCTAATAACGTGAAGGCGCTATTCGCTTGCTCCAGGTGTTTCTCACGACATCCTTTTGAAGAATTATCTCCGGGGCAACAGCTATGCAAGGTAGAATTATATAAATAAATTATCCATATTAAATAAAAATAGATAAACAATCACTAAAATAGAAAAAATAATATAATCATCAACGAAACATTTCACTAAGCGTCTCATTGACACAAATATACATTATAGCGATTTCTAATATTAGAATTTTGTAAATTGCGTGCTAATACAAATGAGTAAATTAATAAAAAATTCTATTAATTTCCTTTAAAGTAGTTTAAGTAAGCCCAATATTATATTATCGTATCAAACAGTATCTTATTCAAGTGTTAAATGTCAGACCTTGAATTGTCTGAAAAACAATCGTATAACATCGGTTGTTAACAATATTATTTATTTAGGAATGTCGTGGTTCGTTTCCTGTGGTTAAGTGTACATACTGCAGATCAGAATTTCAACAAACCATGTGAGTATTAAAAGAAAACATTTTATTTATACAAGTGAATACTCTGTTTGTTATTACATTATCTATACGCTCTTTAATTAAATCATTTACTTTCCAGTAAAGGTAACACTTGTACAATTTGCAAAAAGTGTGAACAGAATGTCAAGGCCTATGGAAAACCATCGGCATGCGAATATTGCAATACTATTGCAGCATTTATTGGTAGTAAGTGTCAAAGATGTACCAATTCAGAAAAACGTTATGGTCCTCCGGTAACATGTGAACAATGTAAACAAAAATGTGCTTTTGATAGACAAGATGAAGACAAAAAGGTACAATATTAATATATAATTTTAATATTCATATTTATTTTTTACATAATAATTTACCTATTAAATTAGGTTGATGGAAAGTTACTATGTTGGCTGTGTACACTCTCTTACAAGCGCGCTCTAGCAAAAACAAAGCAGTCTGATGCAGAAAGAAGAGCTCACCTGAAACTTGCTCATGAGCGTGCGGCAAAACATAAAGAACAAAAGTAATTATTCTTCTAATATTATATACAGTAGATGGAACATTTTCAAAGGTATCGATGCATTAAAACCGCATTGAGATCATTTACATCATTAAGTTCAATTTTTGTATTAATCAAATTCGAACATGCTTTATTTAAAATTTATTAACTTATAAAATAATTTGAAACATTTATTTTATCATACAGATTTTTTTGATTTGTTTTAGATTAAAAGGACACAATAAACGACCACATCGAGTGGACGTGACGAAATTACCTCCACAATCGGATTCTACAGAAACAAATGGACCAACTCCAGTTAAAGTTACACGAATGGTTGGAGTTCATGATCCTCATGATCCCAATAGTTCAGATCATGTTGTTGCTGTTACTCAACTTAAAGAAAAAATAGCTCATCTTCAAAAACAGTTAATACAAAAAGATAATCAATTACTTAGTAAAGATAAACAGGTATGCATACATATATCAAAGTTTTTTCAAATATTTTAAAATATTAAATAGAGAATGATGTGAATATCATAAATTGAATAATTATTTTTACAGATAACTGAATTAAAAGCAAAAAATTTTACAGCAGAAACGGAGCTGCGTAATAAAATGAAAGCAACAGAAAAAGAATATGAAAATAAAATAACAACAATGCAGCAAAAAATATCATCATTATTGAAAGAAGTTGCTACTTTATCAAAAAGCACTAAACGTGCTGATCGTTTAGCGGCAACTAAAAGTGAAGCTGGAACTAATAGTGGAAGTGGAACAGATAGTCCAGTACCTTGATAAGGTAAACAAGATGTTGAACCTAATATTTTTTATTATTATAAGTGAATGATTTTATTATGAGATAAATTAATTTTAAAAATATTTAATTATTTCAGGGGTTTAATTAGTTGTAAAAACGTACATTCAAAGTCCATACCCACTGGAAATTAAGTGGTTTACTTATATAAATAGCAAATTCTTTCCATCTCACAATACAAAAACTGTATTATTTTTATAATATACGAATAATAATTATCCTCGATGATGGATCAAAAAAAATCAACTTAAATATTGAGGATTAGAATGAAAATCATTATAAAAGCAATGTAAATGTGCTTTTAATTATTCTTTTTGAAGCGGTAATTTTCAGAAGTGATTATAATTATTATATTATATCAAATGAAACGGAATTTATTATCTGATCATTAGTTAAAATTATAAAATGATTTAGCGTTCATGTATGTATGAAATTGGAAACTTTTTCATTTATGTATATTGGCAAATTGGCAAACTCAAATAGTAGTAGTAGAAATTGGATTACTTTAATCACCGCTATATTTAATAAATATTTGTATTCATTATTAATGTCAATGAACCAAATGGTTGGTCATTTTGAAGAAAAGTTTTTCAATACAATTCATGAAAATTTTTTTACTTCCATTTTTTTTCTATAAAAATGTACCAAATCTATTATAATTCCTCTCTATTATTTTATTATTAACACAATAATTATTATAAAAAAGAGAAATGAAAAAGCGAAGAAAAAAAAATACACCTATTTAAATATCCAACAGCCATATATTTATTCTTTATTTTAAGAAACAAATGCTAGTTGAGCATTACCTATTCATTAATTATAATGATAATAAATGCGTAACAATTTTTTTACTATTTACGAAGTGTAAGGATATTTAACATTTAATTCATAGTCGTTTAAATACGAACGTGCGTTTCGTACACAAATGTTTACGGTACAAGATTGATTGAAATTCATTATGACATTTCTATTATTATTCTTCCTGGTTTTTTTTTCCTTTATTGTTAATTTAAGGTTCATAAGAACTAAATATTGCTTATCTGTTACCGAGGCGAATAATCACTTTACTTCCTTCGATAATTTTTACTACTTTCAGCATATTTACATAATCTCTATAATTTTATAATTAATCAATTTGTTATGAGATTCGTTTTATGGTTGTCCATTGTGGTTTGTTGATCTTAAACTGCATGATTTTTACTAGAAGTGCGCTTTTTACAGGCAAGGTAGCGAATCAAGACAATGTTTAGAATTACTTTTCTGTAATGCGGTAATGCCTCTGGAAGCAATTTACATTTCCAATTTTGAATCTATATGTTTTTTCATGTATTTTTAATTATAAATTAGTTAGTTTCAATATTTTAATTGACTTGATTATTGAAAAAGTATGGAAGAAAATGCTGTTCAGTTTATTTGTTTTTTTTCTTTTTTTTTTGGAAGCCTCTCAACGCTTTTTGTTCGTATTATGTGTTTGTGCAAAAACGGATTTTTTTTAAAATCATTTTTTCAAAAGTATTTTTTATCGACTAGAAAAATGTACAAGCACTTTCAGATATTATGAAAAATATTGACAATGTTATTTGTTAATTACAATTTTCATTTTTATTCTTTAAATTATCATGATATAATTATTTGATTAATTTGTCAATTTTTTACAGAATTAACTCAAGTGCATGAACATTTTAACAATTGTTTTTTAATTAATTACTAGAAAATAATAATTAAATTTCGTTTTTATTTATTTATATTTGGCTCTGGCATCCCGCAGAGTGCCTGAATCATCCACGTTGCCTGATGTGTGTTAATATCATCAAGTGAATAATGACAAGTAGAAATAATAATAATAATAATGAATCATAATAGTACGAAAGAATTTGTGAGTTTTTGAGTGAATTATATACATATTTTTAGATTTTTCAATTAAAATTATAACTCAAAGAAATTTTAAAATGAGAAATTCTCATTATTGCTTTTTTGCACCGTAAGTACGATGTTAAGTATGAGCTTCAACAGCTGTATATCAGTCTGCGAATTCGTCTTGAAAATATCATCATAGATTAGCGATTTAATATTTCTTCGATATATATGTTCATTTATTTACTTATATAGTTTTAATTAATTTTTTATTAAATTACTTTCTTTTTAATTTATCGCCAATCATCACAATAATTCATAATTAAAATTATATCTCCTGTTCAATACTATGATGGTAAACAGTCTGAAGCTTCATTCAAAATCACTAGTCTATGAAAATATCCGTAAGCACGTTTCGTTTTTAGCGGTAGGCTGTTTTCGGTAGTGAAAGTGAATGTATTGTAATAATGAATAAGTATAAATGAATGCCTATACTTAATGGAAGTATATGTTATATAAAATTATTCATATACATGGAAGGATAAAAATGAAAATGGAAGAAATGATATTGAAAAAATTATTCAAAAACTTATATAACGTTTTCATTAATAATTAGAATATGAATTATTTTAAAAAAGCTCTTTAATCGTAATTATTTTGAAATGTCTTTGGACGACAATATCTTTGAAAAAGTTCATTTAGTAAATAATTAATTGAATATGCTCAAAGTGAGTAAAATAACAAAAAATACTGATTGGTTGTTGTTCCTAAATAATTTTACGTCATGATTTAGTTTATATCACCATTAATATAATTAATACAAAGAAAAAAATATTAAAAAATATATTTACATGTAAATATAACTATATTGAATTGTTGTATGATTTTATGTAATATGATGTTGGTGACAATTATGAACTCAATGTTGGAATAAGTTAACTATTATTGTTAATAATATCACTACGTGAATACAGCCTACCGTTTGGCCAACCAACAATAGAAATTATATATTATATTATAAATTATAAATTATATATTTGTATCTATATATAATATATATTTATATATTTTTTAAATTATTTTTCTAATTACTGAATAATTATTCCTTACGTTAGTATATACAGGTACAGGTCTCGTATAGTTGCAGTCGTGTCGTCACTGGTTTTTAATTTTTGCCATCTCCCTGATCGTTATTTATTGATTTTAATTTTTTGTTTTATCTTTTCATTTTTTATTAACTGGCGGGTGCCGACAAAATCCGCCAAATTGAGATAGTACTCCAGAGTACGGAATTGATTAAAGTACATACAAAAAAGACATCGAGTTTTATGGATATTTTATAAAGAAATAAGCATTCAATACCTTTAAAGAATCTTTACACCTTAATGTTAATATTTAAGAAATATTGGTGTTTATCTTATCTTTTTTTATCCAAACAAAAACTCAATGATCTTTTCGTGCGTTTGCGCATTAGACTCGATTATTTATCATCACCAATTGCGCAGATCCGAAGCTGCAGGGTCCCATACAAATGTCCAATTATCACGGTAGAACATCTGAAGATTTCGTTGCCTTTAAGTACACTCGATAATATGTGGTTGAGAGGTTTCTATGACGCTTGGCCGACCCACTGAATTCTCCAAGTTATGAAGAGATGTGGAATGTGTACTGGTTCGTCGTTCATAGTTTTCTATATGCTCCAACTCACAGTCTTTGGGCATATTTCCTATAAACGTATCATACAGAAATTCAGTTTCAATTCATTTCATTATTTGATAGTGAATTTTTTTTTGAAATATACTACTCACCAACACTCATATCAGGACCATATTCATAATAGGTCGGTGAACCAACAGCTGCAGCTAACGCGAGTTCATCTTCAATATTATTTGGCCTACAACTAGTTGTTTTCCAGTGAGTTCTTAATCCACTTGCACTAATATATTTTTTATCGCAACCCTGACAAGTGTAGGGCCGCTCGTTCGTATGTAACCTTTTGTGAAGTTTTAAATGAACGAACTGGGTGAATTTCGCAGGACACAAATCACAGGCATAAGGTTTTTGACCTGAATGTAATCTCAAATGTGTTTTGAGGTTTGATGTTGAACTAAACCTTTTTTTACAAATTTCACACTGATGAGGTTTTTCACCTAAAAATATTGAAAACATCACGAATTAAAGTTTAAAATGAAATTGATTGATTTTTATTAAAATATCATATTTATTATCAGTAAATGTTTACCTGTGTGAACTAAGTGATGTTTTTGTAGATGGGCAAGTTGAGTAAAGCTCTTGGTACATACATTGCACTTGAACGGCCTTTCGCCAGAATGAGTCCTTAAGTGGACTTTGAGATTGGACAATTGCCCAAAAGTTTTACAGCAAACATTGCACTCATAATGCATTTTGCCGTCTTTCTTTTTTAGTGGGTAAGGCAAGGATCGATATCCCCGTGAGCCTTGTGAATTAGGACTGAGTGATCCACTTTGCGAGCAAGCATGATCATCAGGAGACAATGATCCCGCTGGGGAGTATCTGTTTAATGATGAAGAGTTTGAGTGAATCGTAAGACCAGGATGATGACCTAAATGTAAATTGTGCGTTCCAGCAATGAGATTTGTTTGATTGCTTTCCATTTGCATTGTTGACGAGGTTGGCATTTGATGACTACTTGCTGTTTCATGTCGTCTATTGTCACTTCTTTCATAAACAACACTGGTTGATGGTGTTGGTGAATAAGCTGAGCAATTAATCGATAACGGTGCAATGTGTTGATGCATCGAGCTATTTTGATGATAAAGTCCGTAAGGATACGAAGAGGGAGAATGAATAGATGGAATTGGTGAAACACTTTGATTATTCCCTTGCGATGAATAATTTGATTCTATATGAGGACTGCTTGAGCTTGAATACATAATAGTTGATGGTCCAATGGGTGATGGTGCTGGTGCACTTGTTGTTGTTGTCGTAGGTGATGGACTTTTAGATTTACGGGATTTGTTTATGCAATTGCTGGTCGTTGCAGGATGAAGGCCACTCGTGGTTGATGTTAAGACTGTACTAGAGTGAATGTTTCCATTGCCAGAATGAACACTACTCGAGTTACAAGGATGTAAAAGATTTCCTGTACTAGAATGCAAATTTCCTGAACTTTGAAGCATAGACACATGGCTACTTGTAGAATTAACTGAGCTTGTACATATCTCTGTTTGCGAGGGCATATTAGAACTTGAATCTGGACTGCAAGGAAGAATGTTACCATACCTATGAGATTTTTTGTATGAATAAGCCATTTCTGTCGGACTTGAAGGAGGTGGAGTAACTGCATCCAGATGACCCGTACGATTATGACTTTGTTGAGCATGGTTAAGATGATGATTATTGCTATGAACTTGATGTGAATTAGTGCTATTATTATTATTGTTGTTGTTGTTATCTGTATTGCTTCTAAGTAGAATATTCTCAAGAATTGAGCTGCTGGGACTTGTCATACATGAAGACCGACCAGTAGTGGAAATAGCATGTGAACTGCCTTTAACTTCTAGTTCATAAAATGCTTTAGGTTTTTTATCCATTTCATCGTCATTTGAAGTAGAAATAACTGTTGATTTTTGTAGAACCATTGGAGACACAGATTTTTGCGGAATTTCAGGTGTCACTGCACGAATAATTTCATCTTTTTCTTTTACTACATCACAAGTTTTACCAGACTGAAAATTACCATAAGTCTTACTAATCTTTATTTTGACTTTTCTGTACTCATTCTTTGCAACGACAGTATCTTGCTTAATAATTCCGTTGTTACTAGATGTTCTTGTATTTTTGCTGAAATCGAGAACGTAATTGTTTTCAGAATCGGATTCGCTGCTCTCTTCAGGCGGCGTGAGGATCTCATCATGATAACCATTAGAATGATAACCCTCATCTGACCTTACGGAACCTTCTGTTGGAGTCATTTGACAACGTCTTTCATATATCGTGGAGTCCTTAAGTGGTAAGACATCTACAGACGTTGGTACCTCTGTCGGTAGAGTCGATTGTTGAACCTGCTGACGTATTCTTTGAAGCATCAATTCCCCAGTTAATGGATAATTAAGCCTTTCAGCAAACTCTCGACAGTACCACACTAGTAATTCTTGATTCGGTAAAATTGGTTTGATTGTGTAAAAATAAATGTTCATCTAAAATAAAAATATTTTATATATCGTTAGTAATTATTCTCAATCATTTTAAAGTTCAATAAACTTGATTAATTCAATTACTTACATCATATTGACATGCTATTAAATTTTGTGATTCTGATGAGTACGCAGGATTCACGTACCTCATCCAATTAGACTTTTGTATATCGTAACCATCGATGTAATAGAACAACTCGTTATTCTTGTAAATCTAAAACATAATTTATTGATATTTTATTATGGTAGTTAATTTTAATTTACGTAATCAAATACATTAACATTCTATAGACTATAAAAAGTTCCATAGCAGTGAGAATTTAACTCAAATGCTTGTATTCGATAAGTTAAAACCAGTTTTGCCTTTGGCAAACTTCTTAAACTTCATCTTTCCTTATTCTTCCTATCTCCGTTTCACGCTTTTAATCGTCCTGTTCCTCATTCACGATTATAAAGTTCACTCCCAGTACACTTTTTTATTTGTATACATAAATATACATGCACACTTCCTCAAACATTCTCCATTGTCTGATTAATTTAACAATGAAAAAATATTAACTCACCCTCCAAAAGTACTTCCGATTGGCATCAACAGGAACAGAATCTTTCTTGTAAACCTGTCCAACCAAGGGTCCAAAACGAGTTCCTTTAGGGATGTAACCTGTACTCCAAACTCCCAAAACCTTTTATAAAAAATATGATATATTTATTTTTTAATCCCAAAAATATGCAATCCTATGAGGTGAAATTTATTTATATCAAGTTCTTTAAATCCTAGTTTGAAAGTTAAAGGTCAACAAAGACAATCCGTATTTAATAAATAATGAAATTAAAAATATCCTCAACAACTGAAACTTTAGATATTGTCGTTTGTCTATGCTAAAATTACATCGAACAGATAAGAAAAAATAGCCTGACGCTTGACCTTATACATTATTATATTTATCGATGTTTTATGAGAAACTTAGAATGAAATTCTGTTTTAAAAAATAATAAACATTACTATGAATAAACGGTATGTTTTAAAAATATATTACTTAAATAGATTGCAGTTAGAAGAAATCGATGGTAACTTTTTGAATTATTCTTGTAATTATTTTACCAATAAGTTTCAAGTAATCTAGTGTAGTCAAAATTTTGATGACTGACTAAAGTTATTATGTTATTATATATAAATAAAACTTACATCGTTGAGAGCTTGAGATTGTTTTAGAACAAGATTTCTTGGTAATGATGCCTCTGCCCTATTTGACTCGTTTGCTGATGCCGCGACATCCCGTACAAAGTAAACCGCGTGTTGTTCAAACTCCTCTTCTCTGAGGGTCGCATGATCCCACTCACTAGGCTCCATCGTTCACTATAACATAAAGCAAAATATTTATCATTATTACCATATCAATTACAAAATATTTACACTAAATATTTAATTGAAAATTAAATTGTCCATCTAGACATCTTAATAATAATTACAAAGAATTAATCTGTTACTATTGACTTCATTAATAAAAAGATACTTTTTTAACTGAATAATTAAAACAAGTTATCACAATAATACAACTAATTTCATAAAATATAAATAATAATTACTTTTAATACTACTTTATTTAATATGAACTTTAAATTTCACTGAAGAAATCATTGAAAAATCAGCATAAATTTGACAGCTCAATAAAAAGTAAATTAAATATTTGCAAAGTTGAATGCGTAAATTGACTGTTTTATTTTTATTTAGTTAATTTGTAAATTAATGAAAAATAATAGATGACGTCGTTGCACTGAGCTTGCACGCTTTAACACCGCGAAAGTGAAACCCGTCCATGCATTGATCGACTGCAAGTGAGAGGGTGAGGGGATGCAAGGGAGAAAAGCAGCAGGGGGTGGATGAGAATATAAACTACCAAGATCTATCGACGACCAAAATACCTTTTCATTCTCAGATAAAACCATATATAACCTTTCAATTAACACATTGTCATTATCGCTTTTTTATTTCTAACATATTTTTATTTATATTCATTCGATTATTTATGACTATTTTTAAATTATTATTATCAGAGATATGTTACCTACATTGTTTATATTCAATGAAGCATTGATCTTTGAAAATGTCTGATGCAATTCACTTTTTATTAATACAAAAAATAAATTAAAGATTGTTTATTATTCACTCTTATTTTTATTCTTCAATTAATTGTTTTTTTAGTCTTTCAGTGTTTATGTAATCCGGTGATTCTTTAATGAAATTTTCGTCATAATGATTGAAGTTGATAATAATACAAACCCGTAATAATTCGAGACACACAAAACATCACTTTTCTTTTGAAATTTGCGAAGAATTTTCGTCAACATTTACAGAAAATGAAATGACGACAAAAGCTAATCGATTCTAAATACTTTCCGCCACGTTTTCAAGAACCCTTATCGATTATCAGGACATTGGTGTGCCATCATAGTTTTGGAGAACATTTTATTTCAATTACACATCATCTTCCAATTTAATTTTTTTTTATGAAATTCAATAAATTATTTACGAAATGTCATTGTTCATTTTTTCTAGATGTAAACACTCTAAAATCCAATCAGTCTTATCCATTTTCGATGTTATTATTATTCTTATTATTTGGAGAAAAAATCGTGCAAGTTGTTTGTGCGAATCGTTGTTATGGAAGATCAAATATTTGAAATACTGTAAAATTGAATTTTTTTTACAAGTATTACATTTTTTTTTTGGATATTCACTTTTGATTCTGGGTGTCGCCCATTTAAAAATCTCACTGAGCATTAAACAAAAAAAAATATCTCCAAGATTTTCCAAGTTTCCTTTCTCTTTTTTCTCCGCGCATGTCCTTCATACATTAGGCCATAACACACTTATGTCACGATTAAATATTTGGACGAAATCTTTTTTTCCAAACGAAATTCCACTATTATTTGACATTAATATCCCAAACAAACGTCATAACAAACTACCATTGAAACTAAAAATTATCAACGACAATCAGTGTGGAAATAAATTGTTGTCAATTAGGAGAATACTATTTGATCCTTAATGACACTACACTTAATTACAACTGTATTAAAAAAAACATGATATCAATGATTTAAAAAAATTTCCAAACAGTATAAAATCACAGTTGAATAACGACAACTCTGATGAATTAATGAAATCGCCAACACTTGAGGAAACTCAGCAATGAGTTCTTTATTAGCAGTCGTGACAAATTCGAGAGTAAGAAAAGTGAAAAAATTCGCAAAAAAATAGTCGATTATTGCATCAACTTTTGGCCCTCTGTTGCGACGAGGGTTCGCGGATGGCACAGTGTGGAACTCGGGTAGACCTGACCTAGCCCAACACGAGTCTGGTTGGCTCGCCTACGTTGGTATTGGCTGGCGCATGTACATGCTATGGCAGAGGCAGCACCAGTAAGCTGGTGCATTTTCTGTGCTGCGCTTTCGATCGACCCGTTGCTGACTGCGCCCTCTCCCTCCCTTGTATTCTTCTTCATTTTTACCCTCCTCATACTACTACAACTACTACTACGACTATTACTCTCACTCCCTGAATCCCTCTCATTTTCACATTTATATTACTCATTCTTTTTCAATTTTCATCTGCTCGTATTCTTTTTTCATCGATTTGTTTTATGACTTTTTTCTTTTTACTCCATTTACTTCTTTTCAACTACTTTTCCTTACATATTTTCAATGACTTTTTGCAGCCTTCAGTCTATCGTTTTATTTTTTTCTTTATTCCTCTTACGTATAAATTATTCACCAAACTCCTTTATGAATATCAAAAAATGTGCAGAAATTTTATTTGTTCATTTTATTGTGCTTTTTGTGCTTCAGTATCTTCAAAGCCTATTGCATGCAGGTGAAACAAAATGGAAGAAAGGGTAAACACGCAATCACCCTCTGTTAAATCTAACCCAACCTTTATTGAATATCACCATAGTGATCTATAGATGTATATTTTATAGTGACACTTCAACAATCAGCTTTAAAATAATTAACAATTAAAAACTTAAATCAAGCATTAAGTAAAAATAAAAAAAAAAATAAAAATATTCAACTTCTAATTTATTCATTTATTATAATCGAATCTATAGATTTAATAAAGTGCCGTTAATCTGCACTACCAAGGTCAATGAACTTTTTTATTGATGCAAAGAGGATTTTAGCTGAAGAATAAATAATTAATCACAAACGTTGTGATGATTGGATAGATTTATATTGACAATGAAATGAGTTAAAAGTGTAGTAGATGTTCAAATGAAAACTCAGCAGTATTGAATGAAAATTTCACTTTTCCATGTGGTCTCTCCTACTCACCAACAAACCATGTTGGTCGTACAAGTAAGCTAGCGAAGAATTTCCGCGTGAATCGGCGACGACTACTAACCCAGATACGTCCTCAGGTCGTCGATCTCGTGCCTTCTCGAAGAAGTTGACTCCATGTGTACCAGATAACTTTTCTACGATCGTTTATACTCCCATGACTCGTGCCAAATACTTTTTCTCTTTATATATATATGTATATTTAAGAATATTACAATTAAATTCACCTTATTGTTATGGAATATAAATATATATAACCTGAATTTAAAAAGTACACCATTTAATCGTGACTTTATAAAAGATGAAAGAATAATTCTTTCTCATAACAAGAGTTCATTGTCCTTCTAAAACATTCATAAGAAATCTCCTGTAATCGGTATTGCAGGTGATTGTGAGCGAAATATGTAAACCGGAAAAGCAAAGAACCAGTCGAATAGTAAGTCCTTTTTCTCTGCAAGTGTCTCTCCTCTTAATTTCTTCTACTTCTCAAGTACAAGTTCGTCATTAGGGCGTTCATTCTCTCACCCGATTGCGGACTCGAAAGAAGGTCTCTGTCGGTCATTGTCCCACTTGGTAGTCTCCTTACAAGCTGGACTTAGTCTTGGACCACCAATCAAAACTCTACGCTCATTTTTACTCTATTTTTTTTTTCTTTTCTACCTTTAAAAACAATTTTCATCGTCACTTTAATTAGACTATCTATCAACTATGAACTATTTTTATTTGTCAATTACATTTGAATAAACTTCCGTACAAGTCCAAATGATTTTATAACTGTACTATTTGTCTATATGCATCTCACATAATAGACATGATAAAAACAAACAGGAAAGCATGACAAGAAATAAAAAAAATATACACTTAAAATACGGTAAAATGACGGTAATGTTATACATATGGTATTTTTCATTATACTAGTTCTTGTCAATTGAATATCTTCACAATTACTTGAGAATTTTAATTGTCTCATTTTCTTGCTGTTTCTCTTCTCATATTTATTCATTTCTTAAACGTAAGTAGTATACACAAAAAGATTATACAGACGAAATTCAGGTGAACATGCGTTGTGACTCTATAGGTGCATACACACGGCTACGTGCGCACCGTTATCCGAGAGTCCCGTTTCATCCGAGAGGAAAGAGAATTAAGATAGACATACTGATGTATGTGTATACATTGTGGCCCAGCCAAAAGTAAAACTGAATTCATTTTCGGTCTCGTAAGACCGAAACGTCGCCCGGGTCTGACTCAAATCTCAAGATCATCTTACGTTTAAAAAGCCAATGTCTCTTTTATACATTTACACAATATACATTCCATTTTTTTTTCCTTCTTTTCCTTCTTCTCCAAACTCTATCTCCCTATTAAAATCTCCTTCGAGGTGATTTTTAACCTTGACGACCATAATAATGGCTTTTGATTCTAAGAATTTGAAAAAAAAGCTTCAAAAAAAATCAACTAATGATTAAATGTATGTTGCGCAACCAAACCTAGAGAATTTAAAAAGATGATAGGATCCTAAATTATAGGACCTCGAAATTCACCAATCCAAAGGTCAAAAAAAATGAGAATAAGTTCATTGAACTTTTGTGGTAGATTGGACAAGACAGACTATGTAACACGTGTCTCTTATTCTTTTATATCTTGTTGGCTCTCATAGACCATCACTAACAATATATCGCCATTAAAAGTAGTTGAATATATATTTCATGACATGTTCTTTTAATTTATTTTCTTTCTTTTCTTGGTTTTTTATTTTTTTCTTCTTCAACTTCTTTTCGGGCACACCTCCTGCGGTCAAGATCAACGCACTTTTGCTCGGATACGTCAAAGCCAAATTCTCTTTCTGACTCTTCCTCTCTCTTGCTCCTTCTCCTTCTCGTTTCTCTCTCAACAGGATCACCGGAGGACGTTGAACTTTTCACGCGCTATCGACTGCAAATTTTATCTCGACGCCCTCGGTTCCTCTCATCGCTTTCATCATCTTTTTAGGACTTCAATGGAATGTCAAATATACAGTTAAGACATTTCAATCATTTTCATTCCATTTTAATCAAGTATCATTTTTCCATCAGTTCATCAAAAATTGACAATTCAAGGGAAAATAATTGTCCACTTCCAATGAAGGTTTAAATTTTTAAAACAATTATCATAATATTTATTGAAATAACCAACTTCTTGTTACAACGGAAATTGAATGAATAAAAAATAGTGTAGTAGAGAATGTTTGAATATAGCTTGCAAACTAAAAGTGGTGCAAGTCAACGTTATGTCGTACGTGCTCGTAGTTTTCAATGAATGTTAAATGAATATATGTATATATTTATTGCATGTATGTAACACACTGTATGTCGTATATGAACGTCATGTGACGGGCTTAGGTTGAAGTAGCATTGCAGCAAAAGAAGAAGGTGTAAAAGAATAAAGACGAGGAAAAGAAAAGGAGAAGGTTTGTGGCAGTGAAGGCGTATAGATGTAAAAGCCGCTATATCATTTTGCAAGCTATAGGCTAGGAACTCTCGCAGTCCAAGCGCAAACTGAAGAGGTCATTGAACTGGTGGCACTCTTGCGCTGCATAACCCATTTTGTAATAGCCCACTTTGTTTAACCGGCACGCGGCATCCTCGCATACGACTTGAACTCCAAGCAAACCCAGATACCTTCGTCGATATATTGCAGACTTACACATTTCATTCTCCTTATTTTCCTGTCCCACCAACGGGATAATGGCCCTCAATCGTTTCTCTCCCCTCTCACTCTTGAATGTGATTTTGTGAAAACGCCTAAGAAAAGAGAACATTCAACTGGAACGTACACGTGCGATTTTTAATGCAGATTTTTTTTTGTTATTTATACTTTTTTTTAGTGAAAGTTTTTTTTTGCAAAACTTAAATCTGATTTATATGACAATTAAAAGAATTTTTTTTTTTCTTTTATTATAATATTCTGTATAAGATATTATTAATAAATATTTTACCGGTTGAATTTACTTCAAGTGCATAGAAGATCGATACCGCACTTTCTAACCTAGTTAAAATCGCTGTCTCTCAATTTGCCATTCTTTTTCTTCTATTTTTTTTTTCCTTCTGCACATCTTCCTTCTGATTACAAAACCGTTATTTCATTAATTTTTTTATCATTGTTATTTTCTCACAGACTATAATTTATTAAAAAATAAAACCAATGAATTCGTAGAAATAAAATATCTATAAATACATCATATTTTTAGTAAAAAAAAAAAAATAGATATATGAATATATAATAATGTAGTCAAATGTTTAAAAAGTAAATAGTCTGATAGATAGTTAAATACAGTTGTGAAAGAGATTAAGTAATCAAGTTGGTTATTTCTACATTAAAATTACGCTCTCAAGATGTCAATGTCAATGTCACGGTTCCTCTTTCTCCTTATATAACAAATAAATTAATTCACATTTTAAACTATTTTTAAAAATTTTCCATTTCATTTTAAGATAAATAAATAAATTCATATTTTATATTTAATGTGTAATAAAAATAATTTATTTCTTCATGACAATATGTAATTAAATAAAATAATTTCATTTGTTGTAGATACTTGAAAATAATTGGAAGCATAGATGATGGAAATAAATAATGAATTCTTGATCAGAAGCAACTTATATTTGTCGCTGCGCGTGACCCTCAACGGACAAGGCTACTCACGAGAGAAAAAGAGAGAGCAAGGGTGAGGAAGAGAGTGAGAAAGAGAGAAAGAAGTCAAGTAAAGGGAGGGAATCTCACGGCTGACGGCTGGCCGTGACTTTACTCAACTCGTGCGGCACTCAGCGCAATACAACGCGTCAATGTAGAACGGTCATTGACTTTGTGGTCGGTCGAGCTACGTATGTACTCGCAACAACCATCACCATCACTATTACAACTACTACTTTGCCATCATCAAGACATCACCATCATTACATTGACTCTTCTATCCGCTGTTGACTATTATGTGCTATATAAGTGTCGA